GTGTTTTTGTTTGTTTTGGTTTTTGGTAGGAGCCATCCTAATGGCTAGAAAGCAGTATCCCATCACGGTTTAGAATTGCACTTCCCTAATGACTAGTGGTGCTGAGAATCTTTTCCTGTGCCTATTGGTGGTTTCGTTTTTTTCTTTTATATTGGCTGTCTGTATATTTTGGAAGAAATATCTATTCAAACCATTTGCCCATTTTTGAATGGGCTTGGAAGAAATATCTATTCAAACCAATTGCCCATTTTTCATCAAGTTCTGGGAATTCTTTTTTTTTTTTTTTTGACAAGGAGTTTCACTCTTGTTGACCAGGCTGGAGTGCAGTAGTGCGATCTCGGCTCACTGCAACTTCTGCCTCCTGGGTTCAAGCGATCCTCCTGCCTCAGCATCCTGAGCAGCTGGGATTACAGGCATGCGCCACCACACCTGGCTAATTTTGTATTTTTAGTAGAGACAGGGTCTTTTTAGTAGAGATGGGATTTCACCATGTTGGCCAGGCTGGTCTCAATCTCGTGACCTTGTGATCGACCTGCCTCTTCCTCCCAAGGTGCTGGGATGATAGGTGTGAGCCACCGCGCCTGGCCAAGTTCTGGGCATTCTTTATACATTCTGGATATCAGTTTCTTATAGACATCTGATTTGCAAATCTCCCATTCCATGGGCTGTCTTTTCACTCTTGATAGTGTGCTTTGATGCATACAGGTTTTAATTTTGATCACATGTTTTAAGGTAGAACACAAGTCTGCAAGCGACTGGGCACCCTGCTTCTGGGTGGAGGATGGAGGATGCCTCCCTCCATCTTCCCCCAGGGTGCAATTCAGTCCTTGGTGGTGGTGAGGACTGCCAGGGCCTTCTGGCACAGTGATGGGATCAAGACTCTGCCTTGGTCACCTCCTGGGCTCTGTGCTGTTTTCTGTCCACATAAAGGAGGTTAGACAGGAGCCCCATGGGAGGGAGAGGATCAGAAGTGTGGCCCAGCCACCCAGTATCTGCCTGAATGCAGGACCTTGCCTTCACCTCTTACTCTCTGTTCTCCAGCCATGCTCCGACCCCACACCTCACAGCTCTGGCTAAAGAAGCCAGCTCCTCCTGCCATACACAGGAGGCAGCCAGACCACTCTGAGGGTAAGCAGAATGGTGATGCTGGCTTCCTTCTCCCGACATCTCCTCGCTGCCTTCTCACAAAACCTGAAACCCCTCTGTTACCCTTGCTTCTTTGGGTCAAATGTATGGTCACTTGTCTGAAACGCCTTCAACAAAATCCAGACATCCAGTGGTGATTTAGACTGGATGACTTCTCAGGAGCTTCCGGGGCTCATGTTTCCATTCTAAGGCAAGCATGGAGAAACTTCCTACCAAATGGAATTCTTTGCCTTTCCTATGAGTTGCCCAACTATGGATTAAGTATTTTGTTTTCCAATGTATTTTTTGGGAACAAGGAAGTGGCATTACAGGTGGGTCTATCCAGAGGTTTCCATATTGGGGGTCGCTGTGTTCCTTTATTAGGATAATAGTCTGTCTGGGGAACACTGGGTAACTCTGGCCTTTCCCAGCAAATATTTATTTGGGATCCTTTCAGAAAGCACCTGGCACAATCCAGAGAGAGGGAAAGAAATAGAGGCAAAAAAATGTAACACAGATTGAGGTTTATTCACAGGGATATGGTCTTCCAGGTGCAAGTCTTGGTTTTGTGGTAAAAGAACCTTTAAAGATCCCTGTAAAAAGCAAGTGGGCTGGGTGCGGTGGCTCACACCTGTAATCTCAGCACTTTGGGAGCCTGAGGTGGGTGGATCACCTGAGGTCAGAAGTTCAAAACCAGCCTGACCAACATGGAGAAGACCCATCTCTACAAAAAAAAAAAAAAAAAAAAAAAAAGAAAGAAAGAAAGAAAAAGAGCAGAGTAGTGAGTTTGGAGAGAGTAATCATTGCAGATGGACTTAAGCCAATTGCTCATTCACAATGACTGTATTTCATCAGCTAATTTCAACATGTGCTTTTTTTGGTGACAATTTAAAAGCTCTGAAATCAGGATTAATTTCCCATCAAGGTGCTTCATGATAAAATTGGCAGTATTTGTGTGTGTGTGTGTGTGTGTGTGTGTGTTTGAGTGTGTGTTAGTGGTGCACAAAAATAGCAGCATGACTTCCAACTGATAGTGTCTGAAGTTCATTGAAATACAGTCCTAGGCTCATTGAGTATCTGCAGGTACCTGAGAACTAGAAGGACCCCCACGATCTCAGCACCAGGTGGCACAGCACAGTGAAAGATTCAGGCTGAGTTCCACCGTGAATATCTGTTTTTTAAAAATTTATTTATTTTTATTTTTTTGAGATGAAGTCTTGCTCTGTCACCCAGGTTGGAGTGCAGTGGCACAATCTCAGCTCACTGCAACCTCCACCTCTCAAATTCAAGTGATTCTCCAGCCTCAGCCTCCCAAGTAGCTGGGATTACAGGCACCCACAAGTAGGCAGAGAAACAATGGATCACCTGAGGTCAGAAGTTCAAAACCAGCCTGACCAACATGAAGAAAACCCATCTCTACATTACAGAGAAACAGTGTAATGACCTAACACACCCCAGCAAGCCACTCTTCCTCCTGAGTAGCTGGGACCACAGGCACATGCTACCATGCCTGGTTTATTTTTGTATATTTGGTAGAGACGGGGTTTCACCATGTTGCCCATGTTGCCCAGACTGGTCTCAAACTGTTTAACTCGAGCAATCCACCTGCCTCAGGTTCCCAAAGTGCTGAGATTACAGGTGTGAGCCACCATGCCCAGCTACAGCAAGCTATTCTTTTAGGAACTCTTAGGCACACCTTGCTTGAAAGCTCACATGTGGCCGATGAGAAAAGCTGTCTTGTGGCATACTTCAGCTGAACTTCTAGTTGTATTCAAACCATTGACTCTTCCCCAAAGGGCTCATCTGGGCTCATTCAGAGGAGCAGCCTCTTTGGGGTGTACCACAGCTGTCATGCAAGAGACAGGGAACCTTCTCTCTAATTCACATATCTCTAATTCCACTCATTCCTCCAAAGAAACAGCATTCGCTCTGCTGATTAGCAAACCCTCTGATGTTGGTTAAAAATAACCCCAACTGAACCAAAGATGTACTCTCCAGAATGTGTGTTTGAGTTTATGATTCGTCTTTCAAATGCTAACTAATCACACCCCCACCCCCGCCAGAGGTCTATATTAAAATTAACATTTCCGTATCATGCTATCTATGTGTATTTGAAAGCAAATTTCAGAAAGCATAATAACAGCAAATGAGTACTTGTGACTTGGGACACATTTTTCAGCAATTAGCATTAAACACCACTTTAAAACATATAGATTTCAAACAACTTTGTTGGCGATGAGAGTATTTTTCAAGCAAACTGTGAGGCGACTCAAGAGTGGCTGTAGTTGTGAAGATGCTCTCGTTGATTTTGAATACACTTATTTCTATGAACTATGAGTGGAGGCTGGGTGCTGTGGCTCATGCCCATAATCCCTGCATTTTGGAAGGTGGAGGCAGGTGGGTCACTTGAGCTTAGGACTTAGAGACCAGCCTGGCCAACATGATGAAACCTCCTTTCTGCCAAAAACTACAAAACTTAGCTGGGCATGGTGGTATGCACCTAGAGTCCTAGCTACTTGGAGGTGGAGGTGGGAGAATCTCTTGAACCTGAGAGGTGGAAGTTGCAGTTAGCTGAGATCACACCACAAGAAAGAAAGAAAACAAGAAGAAAGTAATCAAGGAAGGAAGGAAGGGAAGGAAGGAAGGCGGGAAGGAGGGAGGGAAGGAGGGAGGGAGGGACGGAGGGGGAAGACTACTCCAATGAGTACCTTGGATTTATTTGCTTGGCTTGGTTCTTTTGTGTGTCTCAGGGCAACCAAGCACCAGTCAGCTTTCTGGAAGAGTTGATTCTATGACCTGGGCCAGCTCCTGGTCCTCTTCCACCCACTGGCTGGATACAGACTTAAGATCCCACTCTCCTTCCAGGGACAGCCTCCGGTAGAGTGGACAGTGAACAGCCCAGCTCTCCCACTGCAGTGCAGCCTTGGGAAAGTTACGCCACCCTTCCCACCTTCAAGTGTAACATGAGAAGACTGGGTGACCTCTGAGGCCCTTTCCAGCTCTGCGGTATTTTTGTTTTTTTTTGAGACAGAGTCTTGCTGTGTTGCCCAGGCTGAAGTGCAGTGGTATGATCATGGCTCAGGGCAGCCTTGACTTCCTGGGCTCAAGTGATCTCACTTCAGCCTGCCCTCAAGTAGCTGGGACTACAACACCAAGCCCAGCTAATTTTTAATTTTTTTTTTTTGTAGAAACAAGGTCTCACTCTATTGCCCAGGCTGGTCTTGAACTCTGGGGCTCAACTGATCCTCCCACTTCAGTCTCCCAAATTTCTGGGATTACAGGCATGAGCCACCAATCTGGCCTTAGCTCTGCGATTTTACGATCACTGTCTTAGTTCATTTGGCATGCTATCACAAAACACCTAAGACTGGGTAGTTTATAAACAGCAGAAATGTATTGCTAATAGCTTTGGAGGCTGCGAAGTCCAAGGTCGTGGTGCCAGCAGATTCCCCGTCTGGTGAGGGCCCATTTCTCATAGATGTCTCCTTCTATGTGTCCTCACGCAGAGGAAGGAATGAACAAGCTCCCTCAGACCTCTTTTATATGAGCACTAATCCCACTCATAAGGGCAGAGCCTCTGTGACCTAGTCACTTGCCCAAAGCCTTGCTCCTTATCACCACATTAGAGATTAGGTTTAGACATATGAATTTTGGGGAGACACAAAAATTCAGACCATAGTAATCACCCGTATTATTATTTAATTACCTCGGTCCAGCACTCTCGGAGAGGATGACTCAGCAGCCTGATCCTTTCGCTGTTTTCAAGGAAGCTTGATCTTGTGCCATCATGTATATGTAGCAAGCATATGTTCAATAGTTGAACAAGCTGGAGTTAGGCTGAAACTGACTGCTCTCTTCATGCTGTCCTCTTCCAGGGAAGCAGCACAGCACCAACTAGGCAGAGATGCCCCAGGCCATGACAGCTCTTTGAGTGAGGCCTGGTAACAGGGAGGTGCCATCACCCACTGGTCTGTCCAATCCAGCTCCAAGATGCTGAGCCTGAAGCTCCCCAGGCTATTTAGCATAGACCAGATACCCCAGGTATGTGCTTCATTTATTATAATGGTTCATTTCCAGGGTATGACCAGGACTCTGCCATGGGGGACTGTTGTCTTTGCCTAGTCTGATCTGTACAGGCCCATTCTCTTCAAGGATCCCTTCCCACACTTCCTTGGGGGATATTACAGCTTCCTACTTCCCCCTCCCACCTTGAAATGGATGTGGTTTCAAAATCATTTAAGTTGTAACGCTTCCTTGCGACATCTGTGTTTTATCCAGAAGCGAAGTCATTACTGAAATTCAAGCTGAAGAGATGAAGCCAGCAGCAACTGGCCGGGTAGGAGGTTTATTTTTTTAGGAGTCTCTTATGGGTGCTTGAAAGCAGGTTATGGGCAAAGGCACCCAGGGCTTGGTTCTGCTCATCCCTGTTACTTGCAGGAGGCCCAGGCCAGGTCTGCACTGGGGCGACGGGGAGGGTTGTTGAATGGGCCTTAGCACTGCCCTTTTGTGGACTCATGGGCCTGGGAGCTCACGGGCAGGTATCCTGAAATACGTGAGACTTAGTGTCTGCTTTAGTAAGCCATAGGTGAGTCTGGCTGTGTGCTGCGGAGAACCGGTGCACTTCCTCCTTTCCTTGCAAAGAAAACAACATTACGTCGCCCCCTTTGTTGATGTCAAATTTCCTTCCTTTTTGACTAAGAAGAGTAGGTGTTATTTCACAGTGGGAAGTTTCATTGGGAAGACGTGACAGAGTGGAGGAGAGCCCCTTTCTACTTGGCTGGTGGCCAAGCACTTATGACTTGCCCCAGAAAAATAATTCCTAAATAAACTCAACATCACCAATGGAAGGTTGAGGGGGAAACTGCCAAACCCAAAGCCTGTGAAGCCCAGGGATTCCAAGAAGATGGCATGGGGGAAAATCGTAAGTGATGCACAGCTGTTTGGTGGGGAGAGCTGAGGAATGTGACAGGTGATACGCAATCTACATGTGTGGCCAGCTCCAATGACACTGGGCAGAGCGCCTGCCTCTGCTCTCACAGGGTCCTCTTCCTGGGGCACTTTGCTAGTTGGTTCTACCCACAGAGCATTAGCAGCTGTGGTTAGTGGGTATACAGTGTGATGCTTGAATTTATTTACTCATGAAATTTGTATTGACTGCCTACCATGTGCAAGGGATTCAGAGAATAATTACATACAAATCCTGTCCTTGCATGGCTGATGTGTTGGTCAGAAAGATGTTTAAATGTGCACGAGAAATTCTTTCCTAATGTGGGTTAGCGTCTATCTTAAGACAGGGTGATTGTTTCAGAGAAGGGACTGGTCACTTCCATCATGGGAGAGTATATTAGTCCATTCTCACACTGCTGTAAAGAACTGCCTGAGACTGGGTAGTTTATAAAGAAAAGAGGTTTAATTGACTCACGGTTCCCCATGGCTGGGGAGACCCCAGGTTAACTTACAATCATGAGGGAAGAGGCATGTCTTACATAGCAGCCGGTGAGACAGAGAGAGAGTGAGGTGAAGGAAGAACTGTCAGACACTTGAAGAACCATCAGATCTCGTGAGAACTCACTCACAGTTTGGGGGACACCAATCCCATGATCCGATAACCTCCCACCAGGTTCCTCCCTTGACATGTGGGGATTGCAGGACTTATAATTCAAGATGAGATTTGGGTGGGGACACAGAGCCAAATGATATCAGGGAGGAAGGGATCAGGGAAGGCTTCATGAAGTGGGTGATCTGTAAGACAGACTTTGAGGGGTGGACAGGATTGTGGAGATGGAGAGAGCATTCCAGGTGGAAGGAGCAGTGTGAGCAAAGGCCCGGAGATGGGAGATGATGGGGCAGGTGGTGATGGGCGGGGAATGGGGAGCCTCTTGGGGGTAGTGGTTATGGGATCTGCTTAGACATCTTTGTGGACGTTTTGGTCAGGGTTGGGCTCAGAGTATGTCCCCAGGAAAGAAGTGAAGGGGACAGAGTGGTATCGATAGGTCCTTTGGGTAACCTGCTGGGAATCTGAATGTACGGAGACCCTGAATGTCAGGGCTGGACAACCCTAACACAGGCTAAGGGAGAAAGATGAACAGGTCCTCTCTGTCCAGTTTTTTGTACGTTATGGGGATGATAATATCTTTTAGTGAAATAGCATTAGCTAGAAGCAGAAAGCCAATACCACACCTTGCAACCACTATTTGCTTCAAAATCTTCCTTGGGCTCCAGCATCCACTATTGGGTTTTGAGCATCATGCCCGGGGTTTATGAAGCCATAGAGAAAATACAGTGCCTATGCCTGGAGGGTAGTTTCACCTGAGGATTTGGGGGCAAAGACATTCATTAGTTAAATGAATTAAAAGAGATGTGGTCAGGTGCGGTGGCTCACACCTGTAATCCTAGGGAGGCCGAGGCGGGCGGATCACCTGAGGTCGGGAGTTCAAGACCAGCCTCACCAACAGGGAGAAACCCTGTCTCTACTAAAAATAAAAAATTAGCCAGGCGTGGTGGTGCATGCCTGTAATCCCAGCTACTCAGGAGGCTGAAGCAGGAGAATCACTTGAACCCAGGAGGTGGAGGTTGTGGTGAGCTGAGATCATGCCGTTGCACTCCAGCCTCCATCTCAAAAAAGTAAAAATAAAACAGATGCATGTGTATCAAAGAAGAAATACATACTTTATGTGAGTATTTAAAATAGGAGACTTCATACAGTTGTTAAAACCTACATTTGGTAGGCTCTGGGGTTCCAATACTTGGTTTTTAGAGGGGCCTCAAGCAAGATAATCTCTCTACCTCAGCTTTTGCATCTGTAAAATGGGAATGACAATAGTATCTGCCTGTTGGGATTGTGAGAATTAAATCAGATAACCCAAGTGAAGTGCCTGGAATGTGGTGATCAGTTAATGATGTTGGTTGTCATTATTACCATTCTTTCCTAGGCTCTCTAGAGCACTTTGAGGGGTACAGCATGCTGGCAGGAGACTTCAGAAGCCCTGTCCATAGACTCAAACCCCGGCTCCCTGGACTGGTATTCACCATCTTCACCAGCCTGACCCCTCCCCACCTCTTCCACCACGTCCCATCCACAGACGCTCTTCTCTTTATTCTCCCAGCAGATGCAACCTTCACTGTCTTGATTTCTGTTTAAAGAAGGCTTTCCTCTCCCCACCCTGTGCCCCCTTTCTGGCTTTCTTCTTTATGGAGTGGCAGGCTGCTGCTCCTTTCCCCGGGGTTCTTCAGCTGTTGGTTGGACCTCTGTAGCCTGCTCTGTACAGCTGCTTCTCCTTTTGTGTATCAGCCAGCTGCGTGGCTTGAACCACTTCACTATCCTGTCTGAGCCTCAGTCATCAATAGGGGATGGTGTGTCCACCTCCCTGCATCGTCAGAGTTATAATCCTGGCCCCTCCTTGGTGCATTCCTGGCTGATAGATTGTTCATGGAAAAGGGCAGTTTCTCTCTTGCTTCAGGAGGCAGAACTTGTGTGTATGCCTCATAATATTTAGTCTTCCTTGTGTCCAAAACTAAGCCTGGGTACATTAGAGGGTCATTAAAGATGTGAACAAAACCTCAGGGAATGGAATAATTCTCTAGATGTTGATTCCAACACAGACCTCATTTAGACACAAATCAGGTCTAGAAAAATGACAAGTTCATATGCAACATGGCATGACACTTTGCCAGGAAACAAGGACATTGAAGGTCAAATTGCTAATCTGTTTTTTCTTTTTTTGAGACAGAGTCTCGCTCTGTTACCCAGGCTGGAGTGCAGTGGCATGATCGTGGCTCACTGCAACCTCCACCTCCCAGATTCAAGCGATTCTCCTGCCTCAACCTCCCGAGTAGCTGGGACTACAGGCGCACACCACCAGGCCTGGCTAGTTTTTGTATTTTTCGGTAGAGACAGGGTTTCACCATGTTGGCCAGGCTGAGTCTCAAACTCTGGACCTCAAGTGATCCGCCCGCCTCAGCTTCCCCAAATTCTGAGATTACAGGCGTGAGCCACCGCCCTTGGCCAAATTGCTAATCTTTAATGAACTACTGCCGTGACTCACAGGCTACAGGTAAACACATCCCATAGTCCCAGATGCCTTAGTTTAGGGAGGTGGACAGGAGGATTTCCTGAGGCGGTGGTCTGCACAGAGAGGGAATGCAATGCTGTTTCCAGACTTGCCCTGCAGCTCTGCCACACAGTCATAACCTTAGCCTCAGTGTTCGTATCTGTAAAACGGAGGTGACTCTTGCTAAGTCAGTCTCACAGGGCAATTGTGAAGATCCAAGAAAAATAAAATAGAACAGTGGGGTTATTATGAAGGAAGGAAGCATAGCCAGATCAGTGGCTGGCAGTGGTGTTTGGTAGCGAGCTCAGCCACTGGGAACAAGAGCCATCTCAATGGCTAAATAGTTTCTCCAGCCCCATGTTGTTCAGAGAGGGTGCTTGGCTCACCAACATCAGAATCACCTGGTAGCTTATTAAAATGTGATAGGAGCTGGGTAATCCTAGCACTTTGGGATGCTGAGGCGGGTAATTGTAAGGCCATCACCACTCTGTCTCAAAATATATATATATGATAGGAGTTGTGATAGCAGGCATCTTTGCATTGTTCTTGGTTTTAATGAAAAGAAAAGCTTTCAGCTGTGTGTGTGTGTGTGTGTGAATGTGTATAAGTAATCTTCTAATTCTTTATCAGATTAAGGGTGTCGCTTTATATTCCTAGTTTGCTAGGGTTTTTTCATTTATTTATTTATTTATTTATTTATTTATTTATTTATTTATTTATTTTTGAGACAGGGCCTTTCTCTCTCACCCAGGCTGGAGTGCATTGGTGCAATCTCGGCTCACTGCAAACTCTGCCTCCTGAGTTCAAGTGATTCTCATGCCTCAGCCTCCCTAGTAGCTGGGTCCCCCGGCAAGTGCCACCATGCCTGGCTAATTTTTGTATTTTTAGTGGAGACAGGATTGTTTCCATGTCACCATGTTGGCCAGTCTGGTCTCAAACTCCTGACCTCAGGTGGTCCACTGGCCTTGGTCTCCCAAAGTGCTGGGATTACAGGCGTGAGCCACCATGCCCGTCCTGCCTTATGAATTTTACAAAACTCTTGTTTCCTATCAATATCTTTTGAGATGATCATATATGATTCATTTAAGTTGTTAATGTGGTGATTACAATGATTTACCAATGTTAAACCAATCTTTTGTTCTTGGTTTAAATACTGCTTGATTATGATGCAATATCTCTTTACTCTATTGCCAGAATCAGTTGGCTGATATTTGCTTTAGGATCTTTAAATCTGTTTAATGAGTTGGCCTATAACGTTTCCTTCTTATGCTGGCCTTGCCTGGACTTGGGATGCAGTTTATGCCAACCACAAGTGAGCTGGAGACTGCTGCCTATTTATTCTACAGGGAGAAATATGTGATATTAGAATTATATGTTCCTGAGTGGTTGGTAGAATTTATCTGTGAAATTACCATATTGCCCAACTCTAAGGGGGCACAATTTCCCTTTTAGTCTATGTGAATGGCAACCTCTGGAGGTGTACAGGGAACAACTTGGTCCCACAGCTGAATATTCCTGATGGAAAGATTTTTTGTATAACAACGTTGTTGAGATACAATTCACATGTTATAAAATTACTCTGTAAAAGTATACAGTTCAATGGGTTTTAATATGTTGAACACACAGAGTGTATGTTGCACAAACCCATCACCATGATTTTCATCACCCCAGAAAAAACTCTACCCATTAGCAGCTATTTTCTATTCCCCTCAGTTCCTGGCAACCACCTAACCTACTTTCTGTCTGTATGGATTTGCCTGTTGTGGAAATCTCACACAAATGGAATTGTGCAATCTATGGCCTTTTCTCAGTATCTTCTTTCACTCAGCATGATGTTTTCAAGGCTCATCTATGCTGTAGCATCTATCATTACTTTGTTTTAATGGCCAAATAGTCGTCTATTGAATGGATATACCATAGTTTGTTTATCCATTCATTAGTTGATGAACAGGTGAGTTGTTTCTATTTTTTTTTTTTTTTGGCTATTGTAAATATGCTGCTGTCACATTCGTGTACATGTCATTTAGGTGGACAAGTTTATTAGTCTCTTTGGTGTACAACCCAGGAGTAGGGTGGCTGGATCATATGGTAATAACTCTATGCTTCCGAGTATGTGGAGTTTTTATACTATTGATTTAACTTAATTGATCTTGGTCAGAGAACAAGCCCTCTATATTATTCCAGTCCTTGACGTTTGTTCAGACTAGCTTGATGGCCTACCACTTGAATAATTCTCATGAATCTTCTGAGTGTGCCTATAATTAATGTATAGTCTCCAGTTGTTGGGGGAAGCATTTCATGTTTGTCCGTAAGATCAAACATCTTTATACTTTTACTGATTTTGTTCTACTTGATCTATCCGTAATTGAGATGTGTTAAAATCTTCTACTATGGTGGCAAATTTGTAAATTTTTTCTTGTAAGTTAATTTTTTGCTTTACGTATTTTGAGCCTGTGTTTTTAGGTATATCCAAGCTTATAATTGTCCCACCTTCTATCCTGGTGGTGTAAAGCTATGATTTTGTAGTGATTATATCCAGCGATGCTTTTTGGCTTGGAACGCCTCTGATATTAACATAACTGCTCCAGCTTTTGTTACTATGGTTTGGCTTATCTCCTTCCATTGACTTTCAATTCTCCCCATGTTTATATTTAAACTGTGTCTTGTGTAAACAGCACATGGCGAGATTTTATTTACTTTGACAATATCTGTTGTTTCACTGACAGTTTAGTCTACTCATATTTATAATGATTATTGACATCCACATTTATTTTCATTGTCTCAGATGCTTTTGTCATGTTTTCTCTACGTGTCCTTTGTTTCCCTTACTTTCTTTGGATTGACTTTTACATTCCTCTTTTTCTTTTCATGTTCTGTTTTTTCCTTCCACCTGTTTGATAATTAATGTGTTAGAAACATGCTCTATGTGGATTAGTTTAGTGATCACTTCAGCTATTTTAACATGAATAGCTGTGCTAGACAGAGTCAGGCTATGCTGAGTTAAAAATTACCCCAGATAGGCGGGGCGTGGAGGCTCACACCTGTAATCTCTGCACTTTGGGAAGGTGAGGTGGGCGGATCACAAGGTCAAGAGAGTGAGACCATTCTGGCCAACATGGTGAAACCCTGTCTCTACCAAAAATGCAAAAATTATCTGGGCATGGTGGCGCACCTGTAGTCCCAGATACTCGGGAGGCTGAGGCAGGAGAATCGCTTGAACCTGGGAAGCGGAGGTTGCAGTGAGCTGAGATCATGCCACTGCACTCCAGCCTGGTGACAGAGCAAGACTGCATCTCAAAAAAAAAAGAAAAAAAAGAAAAATACCCCAGATAGCTCAGTGACTTAACATAGCAAAGGTTATTTCACATCACACTACATAGCTAAGTGGTCAGTGAGGGACTGAGATACTCAGGCAGATGGAAGATCCACCATCTCCCGGCTGCCCCCTCCGGAACGTGCAGCCTCCACAGTCATCCCAGAATGGGGAAGCGCAGGTCTACAACCATACCACCCCGAACATGCGCATCTTGCCGGCTCTCAGAAACTAGGCAGGGCTGGTCCAGGTTTGAGTTTGGGTGGGAGAAGGAGAAGAGAAAGCTAGTTTCCTCAGAAACAGACTTTGAGAAAAAGATTTGGGAGCAGGAAGTTTATGGGGGAGTATTCTCAGAAACAACACCTGCAAGGATGTCAGCGGGACAGGATTGTGCAGAAGGAGAAGCTGCATTAGAAGCCTCCACCAGTCACTCAGGAGCTCTGGACGTCAGTTGGTCCTTCCGAGGTGTCCCAAATGGGAAAAGGAGGCCAGGAACTTGGTCCATCAGTAGTGATGCGTACAGCCCCTTGTGGGGGGAATAGAACTAGTGCCCATTGGCCAAAAGCAATTCATGTGAAGCAACGAGTGGCTCAGTTCTGAAGAGTCCCTCTGAAAGGCTTGCTTGCTTTTTTGTGAGATGGAGTCTTCTCTGTAACTTAGGCTGCAGTGCAGTGGTGCAATCTGGGCTCACTGCAACCTCCACCTCCCAGGTTCAAGCAATTCTCCTGCTTCAGCTTCCCATGTAGCAAGGATTACAGGCATGCACCACTATGCCCGGCTAATTTTTGTATTTTTATTAGAGACAGGGTTTCACCATGTTGGCCAGGCTGGTCTCAAACTCCTGCCCTCAGGTGATCTGCCTGCCTCAGCCTCCCAAAGTGCCGGGATTACAGGCTTGAGCCACTGTGCCGGGCCTCTACTTTTAACTGTTCTGGCCTAGGAGTAACATTAACTGGAAATAGTCACATGGCTTCAACCTAACTTTGAGAAAGTCTGAGGAACGTATGGAAAGCACATGGAATATCTGGTGAACACCAATTGTCTACTTAAATTCTTGGATCTGAAGACCGATGACTCAATAATTCTAGAAATGTATCAGTTATTTCTCCAAATAGCACATCAAAACCATTTATATTTTCTCCTTCTGGAAAAATGTTCTCCACGTCTCTTACTTGCTTTTTCATATTTTCTATCTATTACTCTCTCTGAACTGCATTCTGGATACTTTCTCTGGATCTTTCAGTTGACTAATTTTCTCTACAGACAGATCTAGTGCATTATTACTCCTTTGATGTTTTGTAAATTTTAATTATTATATTTTAATTTTTAAAAGTTATATTAGACTCTTTGCTTTGAGATAGGATCCTTGCTCTGTCACCCAGGCTGGAGTGCTGTGGTGCAATCATGGCTTACTGTAGCTTTGAACTCCTGGCCTCAAACGATACTCCTGCCTCAGCCTCCGCAGTAGCTAGGACTATAGCTGTGCTCCACCACACCCAGCTAATGTTTAAAAATTTTTGCATAGAGTTGGGGGTGTCTCACTGTGTGGCCTTGGGCTGGTCTCAAACTCCTGGGCTCAAACAATCCGCCCCACAACAGCCCCCAACGTGTTGGCATTACAGGGTTGAGCCACTATGCCCAACCTGTTCTTTTCAAATTTGCCTGTTTCCTGTTTATCTTTAAGCTATTTCTTTTTTTTTAATTATTATTATTAGATGGAGTCTTGCTCTGTCACCAGGATGGAGTACAGTGGCACAATCTTGGTTCACTGCAACCTCTGCCCCCTGAGTTCAAGCAATTCCCCTGCCTCAGCCTCCTGAGTAGCTGGGACTACAGGCACGTGCCACCATGCTTGGCTGATTTTTTATATTTTAGTAGAGACAGGATTTCACCATGCTGGCCAGGATGGTCTTGATCTCCTGACCTCGTGATCTGCCCACCTTAGCCTCCCAACATGCTGTGATTAGAGGTGTGAGGAGCCACCACGTCTGGCTAAGTTATTTCTTTAAATATTTTAAACACAGTTATTTTATATTTTAGTATTTATTCTTTGATCTCTGTCTCTGCCATCTACTGTTCTGCTGTTTCTCACTCATGGTGTTTTCTTTCCCTATGTGTGCATGCCCGTGTTAAGTAGAAATCTGGCCAGGTGCAGTGGCTCACACCTGTAATCCTAGCACTTTAGGAGGCCAAGGTGAGTGGATCACCTGAGGTCAGGAGTTTGAGATCAGCCTGACCAGCATGGTGAAACCCTGTCTCTACTAAAATTACAAAAATTAGCTGGGCATGGTGGCAGGTGCCTATAATCCCAGCTACTCAAGAGGCTGAGGCAGGACAATCTCTTGAACCCAGGAGGCAGAAGTTACAGTGAGCCAAAATTGTGCCACTGCACTCCAGCCTGGGTGACAGAGCAAGACTCCATCTCAAGAAAAAAAAAAGAAGTAGAAATTCTTCAGTGAGGATTTGTGTTTGCTTTTGTTACTTACCTGAGGGAACTATGAAACGTTGACCTCTTTCTATTTGTAATCACTTCCATTTTTTCACTTGAGATTTCTTGGACCACAAAAGTAGCAGGGGCTTAAACCACAAACTCATTTAAAGACTAGTTGATGGTTCTGAATCTTGAGAGATTTTTTTATTTTTCAGAGAAACAACTTTCCTTATCGTCCTCTTCTGCCTGGTTGAATTTATTTCACACTCACTTATCTTTAGACTGCTAGCTTTATCTGCAAAGTCTCCAATTAGCTTCCCAGCCTTCGATGGGCCTTGGGTTTCATCTCTTGTTCACAAAATCTGGCAGCAGAGACTCTGATGGTGAATGCACCTTACCTCACAGGGTTCCTGGATTCCCTCTGTTTGGGGGCTTTGTGACTTCCTTACTTTTGTGTCATTTAGCTGATACATTGGCATACAATGCATAAGCCAGACAGCATATTAATTGCATTAGTCAGAAGGAGCCTTCGTAACATCGAATCAACCATCATTCAGCCAGAACTGGAGTCCCCCAGCCATTCTTCCAGGTCCTTCCTTCATCCCCAGGCATCGCTTCCTTCTGAAAACTTTAAGGCACACAGCATTTCTATAAAATATGTTTGCAGCAGTCCTTAGCTCCACCAGTTGGATGCTGTGAAGCACAATAAAATTTATTATTTTAAATATGTATAGGACTTTTCTAAACCAAAGGAGTCACACATAAAATACATAATAAAGGTGACATTCCAATAAGATAAAATCCAAAAAAGGAAACAAAAATGTCTGTGGACTAAGAAAGAGAAAACCCACATACAAATCATCCTGAAATGAATTTGTAGAGGAATTATTTCTCTGGACGTTGTAGACTGAGGTATAATTTTGACTGAGTAAAATCCTACTGTTTTCAGTTTTCTTTATACTATGTCTTTATAATATATTTTTTATATTTTGCAATTTAAGATTAGGGTTTGCGTCTTGGTTCTGCTGTTTATCATGGCCTTGGAAACTTCATCTCACTGAGCTTCAGTTTTCTTATTTGTAAAACGGGCTGACAATCCCCTACCGTGCCGTGCTCTCATGAGGATCACATGAAACCGGACCTGCCTCTAACGTACGCTGACTCTGAATCAGCGGAACAAATGCAGGCCATAGGCTATATGTCTAAATACTTAAAAGTTATAAATGAAGCCAATGAACAGCTATGTAAAATGGTTCTATTCTACCTTGACAACTGCCCCTTTATAAGGACCGAAAAAGGAAAATTCTGATTTTTATATAGCAGAAGTCAGCAAAATATGAAACACAATTGAGTTTATTATTGCATATGTCTAAATGTTGATGAATTACTTATGTTTGAAAGAGTAATAAAACAGAAGCATACATAATTTATAAACTATTGTGTTTATTCCATGTAATTTATTTTATTCCTTCATTTCAGCAAAATTGAGTTATATATTGTAATCAACATTATCATACAATTTGTGTTCTATTGAAAATGCTGTGAAATTAAACCACTATTTCTGAGTCCTTGTAATTCTTAGTTTTCTTTCTTAAATTAATTTCATTTGGGAGAAATTTTGCTGAGATTCTGTTCAGTTTTGTTGAGGTAGAACAGCTGGAATTAGCAAAAAAAATTAAGGCCACATTTTGAATCAGAAATGAATTATGATTTTTTTCTTTTTTAAAATAAAAATTGAAGCCAGTTTGAGCAAGAAAATTATATTTTTCATATGAAGTTCAAACATTATAGCGAGGCTGCAACATACGATCATTGTATGAAGTAGAAAAAATATTATTTTAATTCCGTATAGATTATCATCTCATCTTGGTCTTTACTCTCTCAAAGTCATATCTAGATTAGTGTTCATCTGACTATTTCATTAAGAAAAAAATATATTATAAAGACATAGTATAAAGAAAACTGAAAACAGTAGGATTTTACTCAGTCAAAATTATACCTCAGTCTACAACGTCCAGAGAAATAATTCCTCTACAAATTCATTTCAGGATGATTTGTATGTGGGTCTTCTCTTTCTTAGTCCACAGACATTTTTGTTTCCTTTTTTGGATTTTATCTTATTGGAATGTCACCTTTATTATGTATTTTATGTGTGACTCCTTTGGTTTAGAAAAGTCCTATACATATTTAAAATAATGAATATGTATTTTTAATCCCTTTAAAAATGAAATAGCCAAACCTAGATTTTTTGGTAGGTTCTGCTAACACTATCTCATAACAAATGTCAGTTGAGAGTTCAAATTCAAAATTACTGCTATTTCCGACTAAAAACAGAATTTTTCTGTTACACTGATTTCTTCCCATCATCCTATATCTTACCTAAATTAGATGTAAGTGTTTAACAGCACAGATTTGTTATTCTCACCGTGTGAATAAGAGTAGTTAAGGTCAAATTTGTTATGTGTGTCAGCCAGATGTCCCATTTGGAGGAAGATTCAGAGAATGTCATATATAATCTTTTAACTATTCCATAGAAAATTCAGTTGAGAGCCTAATCGATTTTAGTAAGCAATTCAAACCATGTGCAATCATACCCAGCACTAAGGATACCTTTAAAGCCATCATGTTCGGTGAGAAGACATTTGTCTTCTGCAAATATTGTGCACCACGTACAGAAAGCATTCTTGGCCAGGCGAAGTGGCCATGCCTGTAATCTCACCGCTTTGGGAAACCAAGGTGGGTGGATCACTTGAGGTCAGGAGTTCGAGACCTACCTGGCCAATGTGGTGAAACCCCTAATTTTAGAAGTAAAAATACAAAAATTCTCAGAGTGTGGTGGCGCACGCCTGTAATCCCAGCTACTTGGGAGACTGAGGCAGGAGAATCACTTCAATTCAGGAGGCAGAGGTTGCAGGGAGCCGAGATCATGCTACTGCACTGAAAAACAAAACAAAAAGCATTCTTATGCTTGACTGAATATTGGACACATTATTTTTTAAAAAGCATCACACCACTGCTGTAAGTTGGCAAATTTGCCTGTAATTGCTTCATACCAACAATGGCCATTAATTCAGCCTATTGAAGTTCTAATGATTGCCTGCGTGTTGTGTGCAGGCGATGCTTTATGTTTTAATTGAGAGCCCAATCAGTTCTCCTGGTAAGCAATTCAAACCACGTGCCACCATACTCAGCACTAAGAATACTTTTGGATTTTTGGTGGAATTCTGACCTAGCATTCGTTTTCTATTGCTGCTGTAACAAATTACCACAAACTTAGTGGCTCGAAAAACGAACAAACATATGATCTTATAGTCCCATAGGTTACAAGTCCGACATGTGGCCCATTGGGTAAGATCTAAGTTTTGGTGGATGCTGTTGGGGAGAATCTGTTTCCTTGCCTTTCCGGCGCCTAGAGGTTGACTGCTCTCTTTAGTTGCTGGCCCCTTCCTCCATCTTCACATCAGCAACGTTGTGTCTCTCTGACCTTATTCTGTAGTCACTTCTCCCTGTGAGTCTCTTCTTCTGCCTCCATCTTCCTTTTTTTTTTTTTTTAGACGAAGTCTCGCTCCGTTGCCAGACTGGAGTGCAGTGCCGTGATCTTGGCTCACTGCAGCTTCTGCCTCCAGGGTTCAAGCAATTCTCCTGCCTCAGCCTCCCAAGTAGCTGGGACTATAGGCACGTGCCACCACACCCAGCTAATTTTTGTATTTTTGGTAGAGACAGGATTTCACCATATTGGCTAGGATGGTCTAGATCTCCTGACCTCATGATCCACCCACCTCAGCCTCCCAAAGGGTTGGGATTACAGGTGTGAGCCACTGCACCTGGCCCCATCTTCCATCTTTAAGGACCTTTTGATTATACTCGGCCCACCTGAGTAACCAGAGCCTCTCCCTATTTTAAGGTCAGTGGATTAGCAACTTTAATTTCACCTGGGACGTTAATGTCCCTTTACTGTGTAACCTAACATATTCACTGGTTCTGGCAATTAGGATGTGAACGTCTTTGGGGGGCCATCATTCTGCCTCCTGCAGACTCACCAACCATGTTATACTGTTATCACAAGCTTGCCCATGGCAGCTTTTGACATCAATGCCTAAAACTCAAAATAGGTTTTCTACTTCTTAAATCAAAGACTGCATTTTTAGAACAAATGTAAATCTGACGGAATTACTCTGTTATATCAACTTTCTTACTTTCTTCTTCTGTAGATCAATACTGTCTATAATGCTAGTCATTCAATGGGACTTTTCTTCCCTAGACTCACTGCCTGAGTCTTATTTACTTCCTTTTTTAATTTTTTTTTTATTTTTTGAGACAGAGTCTCACTTTGTTGACCAGGCTGGAGTGTAATGGCACAATCTCAGCTCACTGCAACCTCTGCCTCCCGGTTCAAGCGATTCTCCTACTTCAGCCTCCAGAGTAGCTGGGACCTCAGGTGCCTGCCACCATGTCTGACTAATTTTCATAGTTTTAGTAGAGACGGGGTTTCACCATGTTGGCCAGGCTGGTCTCGAACTCATGACCTCAAGTGATCTGCCCACCTCAGCCTCCCAAAGTGCCGAGATTTCAGGTGTGACCCACTGTGCCCAGCGCTATTTACTTTTAAAAGCATTTTGTGTATCATTTTTGTTACTTTACTGTCCATTGTCCATTAAATTATTAATATCCTTTGGTTCCTGCATCCCTGATATTGACCATTTATCTCATTACTTTTTATCCATCTTACATGTTCGGCCAATAGGGACTTACCATTGTCTTCTGTAAATATTGTGCTGCATGTACAAGAAGCATTCTTATGCTTGACTGAATATTGGACACATTGTTTTTTAAAAAACATCACACCCAGTGTTGTAAATTGGCATTTTCCTGTAATTGTCTTGTACCAACAATGCTTGGCTATTGATTAAGCCTATTTAAAGTTCTAGTAATTGCATGTGTGTGGTGTGCGAGTGTTGTTTTATGCTCTTTTAATTGAGAGCCTAAGTATTTCTCTCCTGTGGGAACTAAGCATGGTCCTGCAGGGGACGTGGCATATTGTTTAGCCTAAGGCCTGGTGCACTGCAGGTACTCAGCAAATGACAGGTTACAATTGCCACAGCAAGGCTGGGCACAGTGACTCATGCATGTAATCCCAGCATTATGGGAGGCCAAGGCAGGTGGATCACCTGAGGTCAGGGGTTTGAGACCAACCTGACCAACATGGGTGAAACCCCGTCTCTACTAAAAATAAAAAAATGTAGTTGGGTGTGGTGGTGCGTGCCTGTAGTCCCAGCTACTCGGGAGGCTGAGGCACAAGAATCACTTGAACGTAGGAGGTGGAGGCTGCAGTGAGCCAAGATCGCACCACTGCACTCCAGCCTGGGCAACAGAGTGAGACTCTGTCTCAAAATAAAAAATAATACTACTAATAATTGCTGCAGCAATGCATGGCCTCCCCCTTTTCCCTCCCATTCTTCCACTGCCCTCTGCCAGCAAACTCCTCACCAGACTCCCCACTGGCCTCTAATTATTCCCTGTCCTGGTTTTCCCTGTCACCTTGTCCCTCTTATGTAGAGGGAACTTGCTCTTCCGTAGGAGCTGGGTTCTGGGCAGGGAGGTGACAGGGTGATGCTGGGGTGGGAGTCTGGCTTGAAGCCAGAGGCAGCTGCAGCATCAGCAGGCCCTGGGAGCTGGTTGGAACTGCAGACTCTCACCTCAGCCACCATGCTGCAGTAAGCTGCCCAGGTGGCCTGCAGACACCTGCAGAAGAAAGTTCGGGAAGCACTGGCTTGCACGACCTCACCGCTTGTATTAGTTTGCTAGGGCTGCCGTAACAAAAAGTGGTCTAAACCACAGAAAGTTATTTTCTTGGAGGTCTGGAGACGGAAAGGTGTTCCAGATGAAGGTGTGGTCGGGGTGGTTTCCTCCGCAGCCTCTCTCCTTGGCTCACAGACGGCCACTCTTGTGGCCCCTGCACGGGGTCACCACTCTATGGGTGCTTATCCCTGGTGTCTCTCTGTGAATTCAACATTTCCCCTTCTTGGCAGGGACACCAGGCAGACTGGATGAGGGCCCACCCTGATGGCCTCTTGAAAGACTTTATCTCTGAATGCAGTCACATCTGAGGTCCTGGGGGTTAGGGCTTTAACTGAACAGATAAATTTTGGGAGGGACACAGTTCCCTCCCAGATTTAGCTCATAATGGCACTGTAACGAGAAGAAGCTAAGGCTCAGAGAAGTATGTCACAGTCCAAAATCACAGTGCAGGCCTGGGGATAAGGGTTTTTATCTCTTGACAGAGCCCTCCCCAGGGGCAGCAATAAAGGACAGTGCACAGAGAACAGGGAATGGAATCTGTTGTCTGAATTTAGGTTTCAGCTTTGCTTCTGTTATCTTTAAGAACTTGAATAAATGCTCTCACCTCTCCTGGCCTCGGTTTCCTTTTCTGTGAAATGGGGACAATGAAAGGCTTTTCCTTATAGGCTGATCATGAGGATTCAGTAAGCAGGAAATGCAGAATTCACGTTAATAATGCCTGAGGCCCCCTGGTCCCACTCTGCCTCTTGTCCTTCCCTGCTATCAAAATCTGCTCTTATTTACAGCTGGCCCAAAATGCCCAGCTATTTTCCCCAGATGGTGTGCTGTTTAATAGCTAGAAAAACCGAAGGCTTGAAATTGTCACGGTGAAATTATAGGCATCAGTTAGCAGGTGCATGCAAGTCTTGGTCATGGAAAAAAACTTTCTGGAACGCTGAGCCTGAGGCAGGAACTGAAAGGGAAAACTTGCTGGTCTTCCCTTACACTCCGAGGTCCTGGAGGGTGTCACATCTAAATAACAGGCTGCATATGATTTGATTTCATTTCACTCTACATTGCCCAGCCTGCAACTAGGGATGCAAGGTGGAGTCCTACAGATCAATTCTGCTGTGCAAATAAGCAGGAGCCTGCTTACTTGGGGGTGCTTAGACATGAGGCCAAGCTACAAATTGTTGAGGAAATGATTGCAGTTTTCCTTTGGGGTCAAACTGGGTTTGGAATACAAAATTGTTTTCAAATATTTAGTTTGTCGTTTCTATGTATGGACCATGCGTTCTGTGAAATCCTGCTCTTTGCAAAGCACTTTGCTAAGGCTAGAGTGGGAAGATGGAGAGAATGTCCGTGCTTTCCTGTGCTCACAGGCGCTCAGAGCGGGAGTGCAGCTAAGAACTCGTAATGGGGTTCAGTAGACGGAGGTTCAAGCTGGGGAGGGCAGGGACACGCCGGTCTTCTTATTCTAAGCTGGAACATCACTGTCCTGGGACAGAGGGACTCCTTTTATTGTCCTTTATCCATTTGCCTTTTTTTTTTTTTTTTTTTTTTTTTGGAGAGGCTGCTTTCAATCCTGCCCCTCTTGCACAGCCAATACTGGCTTTCCCATTCCTGTCTGGGGTCAGCAGAGCAGGTCAGATGGAGGCAGGTTCTTTTAATCTGGACCCAGCCCTGGCTTTGGTGGCAAAATGTTCTCCCTAAGTCTGGAGCCAGATTCCTAAATGAAGTCAAGTTTTCCAGTGTATGGATTTCCCTTGTGTTCCTCACTAGCTTTTGACAACATCGATCCCCCCAGTTTTGCCTGCCAGAATGCCAGGACCAGCAGAGAGAGGGGAAATAGTCACAAACTGAGTGGTCTTTTCCTCCAGCTCATGTTCAGCTACTGTCGCTGTGGCTGTCACAGGGTCTGTGCTCTCCTGCAGGCAACGGCTCCCACATGCCCAATGCTTTGCAATGTTTCTGTGCTCACTGGCCCCTTGTCACAAATGTCTCTTGATTTATAGGATCTGCTAGCCTAATTCATAAGGAGTGAATAATGATTGATGGAGTCTGCATTGTAACCAGTGGCCAGTGCTTTAATTAATAATTATGAAACAACAACTTAAAAGGAACAGAGAAAGAAGCTTGAAAGGTAGAAGGATGGACCCAGTGTGGGAGCTGTTATTTCTGCTAGAGGGCCTTCCAAATCCCGCCAAGCACGCGCTGTCCTCATCCGCAAAGATCAAAGGCTGAAGGCCACTGGCCTATTTGCCTCCTTGTCATCAGCCTTGGTGGGGTGGAAATCTGCAAGTCAAGATTCCTGCTGCCCATTATAGGAACCCGTCCACCATAAACCAGGGACATCAGCAGAATTGAATGGTGAACCAAACACTGGAACAAATCACTTTAATTACCTAAGACCCAAACCTAATTCATAGTATCTCTTCATCGGACCATGAACCAACTTCATTATATCCCCTCGTCCTAGTTGACCAGTTTAACCCAGAACTGAACTAAGGGCTCTCTAAAACTTGGAGCTACTGCTAGAAGGGAATGTCCCGATCATTCAGCTCGCCAAGCCCTCTCATTTTACGGGGAGGCCCTGAGAGGTGTGGCCCAGGGCCTCAGCTTCATTAAATGCCTCGCTCTTCTCAAGGCCACGTGGCACCCCAGGGGCCCAGATTTGACTCATTACTCTGGCAGCCCCTCACCTTCAGCACTGCTCCATGTGACTGCTTGACTTGGAACCCACCAAAATAGCACAAGGCTGGGCACAGTGGCTCACACCTTTAATCCCAGCCCTTTAGGAGGCCAAGATGGGAGAATCACTTGAGCCCAGGAGTTCAAGATGAGTCTGGGCAACATAGCGAGACCCTGTCTCTAAACAAAAAATAAAAAATTAGACCCAGCTCAGCTCACGCCTGTAATCCCAGCCCTTTGAAGATCACTTTAGGTCAGGAGTTCGAGACCAGTCTGGGCAACTGGATAAAACCCTGTCTCTACTAGTAATACCAAAAATTAGTCAGAGTGTGGTGGTGTATACCTGTAATCCCAGCTACTCGAGAGGCTGAGGCAGAAGAATTGCTTGAACCCAGAAGGCAGAGGTTTCAGTGAGCGGAGATCACGCCACTGCACTCCAGCCTGAGCAAAAGAGAGAGATCCTGTCTCAAAAAAAAAATTAGCTGACGACCCTTGTGGGACTCCTGTATTTCCAGGTACTCAGGTGACTAAGGTGGGAGGATCATTTGAGCCTAGGAGTTTGAGTAAGCCATGAGTGCACCGCTGCACTCCAGCCTGGGCTTCAGATCAAGATCCTTTCTCAAAAGAGAGAGAGAGAGAGAGAGAGAGAGAGAGAGAGAGATAGCACAAACTCTGGTATTATATATTGCATTTTTTTTTTAAACAGAGAACCTCTCTTACACTAAAAAATCGGTGCCCCAACTGAGAGATGGGTGGCTAGATTGAAGTTCCTCTAGCTCCCCCTCACAGCCTTAGAAATTGAAAGAAGAGGCTTTACAATTTATTGTGACCTGATTTATGTTGTGATTACTAATATTATCATGATTATTATTTGCTTCAATTATCCTACTCATTTATAATTTACCTTTCTTTCTTTTTTTTAAAAGAGTTTTGCTCTTTTTTGCTCAGGCTGGAGTGCAATGGTGCCATCTCGGCTCACTGCAACCTCCGCCTCTTGGGTTCAAGTAATTCTCCTGTCTCAGCCTCCCGAGTAGCTGAGATTACAGGCTCACGCCACCACACTGGGCTAATTTTGTAGTTTTAGTAGAGACAGGGTTTCACCATGTTTTTCAGGCTGGTCTTGAACTCCTAACCTCATGATCGGCCTGCCTCGGCCTCCCAAAGTGCTGGGATTGCAGGCGTGAGCCACTGCGCCTGGCCTTATAATTTACCTTTCAAAGATTATGGCATCATTTATCTAAATCAGTGGTCCTTACCTGGAGGTGACTTTTGCCCCCAGGGAACATCTGGCAATATCTGGAGACGTTTCTGGTTGACACAACTTGAGGGGGTAAGCTGCCCACAGTGTGAGCCAGTGGTGTCCAGCAGATAGAGGCCATGGATGCTGGGAAAGGATGCACAGGTTGGCGCCACAACAAAGAATTATCTGGCTCAAAGAATAGTGTCAGACTTGAGAACCCTTGGTCTAAATCAACACCCAAGGGGAAAAAATGTCTCCTGCAATCCTGCTACCTCGATGAATTAAACGCTTTACTTTTCTATGTTCCTCCCAGCCTCTGCCCCACGGTGTAAACTTAAATTTCCCAAGCTCTTATAATTGTGGCAGGAATACAGTTTAAATTCCCCTTCTCTTCACTTGTGATTGTATCCTGGGCTGTTGTCCCTCCGGCCTCATTATCTTCTCACTTACCACTGTTAGTGGATGGAATACAATACTCCAGGTAGGTTGGTAGCCGTATTTCACCTGACCAGTCCAGATTTCTCAGTGGGGATGCTTTTCAGGTGGGACTCACCAAGTGGGCTGCATGGGGGTGGGGTGGCTTGAGCGGCCCTGCTGTGGGCAGCCGCCTCCTCTTCCTGCAGCCCAGGCATTAGCATCATGGTCCTCATCATCAAAAGCCCTTTATGAAGCACCTTGGTGAATATATGCTGGCACCGGGGGCATCTTCTGCAGAGTTCTTCCCACCAGCCCCGACCTGCAGCGTTGCTGGCTCAGACAGACAGCCTCTATGTCAGCTCACCAAAAAAGCGTCCAGAAACCGGGCTGTAGGCCCCAGGCAGAGGGTGCAAAAACGGATTATTAGGCAAGATTCATGCCAAGGGTAAGTATGGCAGGGGATGCAAAGGCAGGCTGGATTTCCAAAGGGAGCCTGGCCCTTGAATTCTCTCCTCCAGCTGGCTGGAGGCTTCTTGGAGGACTTGGGATTTTAGAAGCCACTGCAGGGGAAGGAGAGAGTGAGGAGAGCAGCTTAGCGGGTCAAGGGCTTGTGATCAAGCGCTCCAGGCACACCGTGCACAGCCTGTAAGAAGATGTTTCTCCGGAGACCCTCGTGCCACTCTCTGGTCTGACCTCAGTGTCCTTTTCCTTGCCTCCGCAGGTGTTCCATGAACAAGGCATCCTGTTCGGCTACCGCCATCCACAGAGTTCTGCCACGGCCTGCATCCTCAGTCTTTTCCAAATGACCAATGAGACTCTCAACATTTGGACTCACTTGCTGCCTTTCTGGTACCTGTCTACCCCTTCGACCGGCCTGTCTCCTCCAGGAGTCCTAGAGACCAGGGAGTTTTTTGTTTTTTTTTTAAGTAGAGTTTGCTCTTGTTGCCCAGGCTGGAGTACAGTGGTGCGATCTCAGCTCACCGCAAGCAATTCTCCTGCCTCAGCCTCTCGAGTAGTTGGGATTACAGGCATGCGCCACCATACCAGCTAATTTTGCATTTTTAGTAGAGACGGGGTTTCCCCATGTCAGGCTGGTCACAAACTCCCGATCTCAGGTGATCCACCTGCCTCTGCCTCCAAAAGTGCTGGGATTACAGATGTGAGCCACCATGCCTGGCCGACCAGGGTGTCTTAAAACACAGCTAGTGTTGTGAGGGCTGAGATTCTGTGCTGGCATTTGGGGATCCCCCACGGGTACACAAGGGTGAAGGGAGTGTGTGACAGAGGGAAGAAACATTGGGTGTGCCACTGCGATGACCTAATTTAAGGAATGGATTGTGGTAGGATTTGAGGGGAAATCTCGAAAGCACCTCAGTACTTCCCTGTTCTGGTGTTGGATTTAATAGCATTTACCTTCATCTCCTTCAGTCCTAGAGACTTTCCCAGTCTCCCAGGAGCCCTGGTTAAAATGTCACTAGTTTGAGCAAGTCAACCTCTCTAAGCTTCACCTTTTCCTACCTGCAAAGCAGTTGTGATGGTTCACACCTCCCCAGGGGTTGCCGTGGGGGTTTGGGAAGAAAACATTGGTAGAGGCACCTGGCCCAGAGCTGTGCGGGTTCCTAATCATTCTGCGAACCACGGCAACCGGGAGGCACTTGGTCAGGCAGCCTGTAGATGGAGCCAGCTAAGAGCAAAGCTCTGGGAAGCCTGTACGCAGAAATGGGAGTTGCCAGGGAAGCGAAGGGGAGTCTTCCCGAGAAAGGTGGGGGCTGAAAGCCAATGTCACACATTGCATCCTTTGCTTAATGAGTGGAGGATGGAGAAAGGGTCAAAGCACCAAATCACAGTGGATCCGAAGTGGAAGAACTAGGAGGCCATTCAAGCCACTGCCCCACTCAGGCCACCATTGGTTGATATAGACACAGCAGAGAGAATGGGTGGCTTCCTTATGTCATGCAGGGGAGCTGTGGCACAGGCTGGTCTCTGGACTCCCTCCAGTCGTGTTGAGAAGAGATTCGGAGTGTGCAGCGAGTGGAGATGGGCCCATGCCCCCCACAAAGGGACAGTCAGCCCGAGTAGAAGTCAGAAGACAGACCCGGGGTCAAAACATAGGGGCAGGCTGTTTGGGTCCAGCAGCCAGCCCAGTGGAGAGGGGAGAAAGCTCAGTCTCGTGTGGACTGAGTTCAAGGAGGTGGGAGGGGGTTGTAAGACTGCCTTAAAATATTTGATAGGCTGGCTGGGTGCGGTGGCTCACACCTGTAATCCCAGCTCTTTGGAAGGCTGAGGTGGGCAGATCAAAGTCAGGAGTTCGAGATCAGCCTGACCAACACAGTGAAACCCCGTCTCTATTAAAAATACAAAAGTTAGCAAGGCATGGTGGCACATGTCTGTAGTCCCAGCTACTCTGGAGACTGAGGCAGGAGAATCACTTGAACCTGGGAAGCAGAGTTTGTGACCAGCTGAGATTGAGCCACTGCATTCCAGCCTGGGCAACAGAGTAAGACTCTGTCTCAAAAAAAATAAAAATATTTGATAGGCTTGTTTTCTATGATCCTGGTGGAGAGAACTAAGGACAATCAAATGGAGATAGATTCCAGGGGGACAGGTTTAAGCCAATGAAGGAGAACTTTCCAGCCCTTAGAGCTGCCTTGGGAGGTAATGAGTCCCCCATCCCTGGAAGCATGCAAGCTGAGGCTGGAGAATCACTAGGGGATTGGACTAGATATACATAAAGGCTCTCTTCTTACTTCACCTGCCCATTCCCAACATCCTGCCTCCCAATTAAAAAAGGACCTCCCCCCCTACCTCCCTAGCACATGGTATTTCCCCAAAGTGAGAAGACAGAGGAGTTGGTCATGGTGGGGAGGGGGAATGGAGATAGAAGATAGGCAAAGAACTAAAAGGAGCTCCCATCACGGAGGGTGAGTGGGCCCTCTGTGTTCCAGGTTCTTTGTGTGGAGGTTTGTGACTGCACTGTACATGACAGACATCAAGAATGACAGCTACTCCTGGCCCATGCTTGTGTACATGTGCACCAGCTGCGTGTACCCACTTGTGTCCAGCTGTGCACATACCTTCAGCTCTATGTCCAAGAATGCCCGGCACATATGCTACTTCCTGGACTATGGCGCCGTCAACCTCTTCAGCCTGGGTAGGTGAGGCCCTGCTCTTGCTTTCCCTCCCCTGCAACTGAGCTCTCTGTCCCTTCTCCTGTGAGCTAGGGTCACCAGAAGGATTTGATGAGTTTGCAGAAGAGCCCAGGGAATGCCAGTGCTCCTGTCCACGTTCCTGATGGGTGTTTTATAAGAAATTATGCTGCTAAACATTTAGCCACTGGCTCCTTGTGGATAACAGCCGCGATCTGCAGTGTTTGCCAATTTCTGTGGTGTAAATCTTCCCACCGCGGCCAGTTTCAACCTACCAACATGACGTCACAGAACACAGGGGTGGGAAGAGATACGTGCAGCACGCCATTACAGGAATTCCACCATGCAGATACAGTAGATGTAGTCATTGAGAACTCAGTTCTTTTGTTAATATGATTTATTTAACTGCAAGTTCATGTAATTTAATTTTTAATGATGGCTGTGTTCCGCTCCCAGCTCTCTCACAGTTCAGAATGAGCTGACTCCAGTACATCAGTGCTGGTATCTGTCACGCCAGGCAGAGGAGGAGGGTGAGGTCATGAGCCTTGCACGTCCAGAGGCTTAGAGCAATCAGAGGTGCTCAGAGTGCATGGGAATAGAGCAGTGGCCTAAGCTGGTGAAACTGGGTGCTGACAGCCTCTACTTCCTGTCTCTCTCGTTTTTTTTTTTTTTTTTTTGCCCTTCTCCTGATTATATTGACTTTTTCTTTAACTGTGATGCTCCCTCCTCTGGCCACCTCTTCTCTCCTCCCCTTGTGGGCATGCATCCATTCCCAAGGACGCGAGTTCTAGATTCTTCCTCCAAGTCCCACTCTAGGAGAGAAAACCAATTATTGTCTTCCTTGCCCAAGAGGTTGTCCATGAAAGCCTACCTCCATCCTCTTTTTTCATATACACAGACTCACACAAACACACATGCACTGACACACACACAGTGCACGACACATATACACACACACCACACACACAATACACTCACATGCACACACACACTCTCAGACACTTCACACACACCACATGTACTCACACACTGACACACACACAATACACTCACATGCACACACACACTCAGACACTTCACACACACCACACACCACATGTACTCACACACTGACACACACACACCACATACACACAGTACACTCACATACACATACACCACATACACACAATACATCGCATACTCTCAGACGCTTCACAGAGACACCACACACCACATGTCCTCACACAGTGACACACAGTCACATACACTCACACCACATACACACAGTACACTCACATGCACACACACACTCTCAGACACTCCACACACTCCACATTTACACACTAACACACACATAATACACTAACATACACATACCACATACACACACATGCACATACCCATACCACATACATGCAGTACACTCATATGCACACACACACTCTCAGACACTCCACACACCCCACACTTACACACTAACACGCACACAATACACTAACATACACATACCACACACACACACTCACATGCACATACTCATACCACATACAATACACTCACATGCACACACACATACTCTCAGACACTCCACACACGCACATGTACACACTGACACACACAATACACTCACACATATACCATATACAATGCACTCACATGCACACACTCACTCCACACACCCAACATGCACTCACACAATACATTGACACACACAATACATTGCATACACACACACATACACACCACTCACATGCACACACACCACACATACACATTGACACATAATACACTCACACCACATACAGACAATACACTCACATGCACATATACACACACATACATCACTCACATGCACACACACATACTCTCAGACACTCCACACACGCACATGTACACACTGACACACAATACACTCACACACACACCATATACAATGCACTCACATGCACACACTCACTCCACACACACCCAACATGCACTCACACAATACATTGACACACACACAATACATTGCATACACACACACATACACACCACTCACATGCACACACACCACACATACACATTGGCACATATAATACACTCACACCACATACAGACAATACACTCACATGCACATATACACACACATACATCACACACACATCACACACACCACATACATACTTACACACATACACTCACACACAGGCTCACTCACATACACTCTCACACACATGCACACACACTTTCCCACTTCATTGCCAACTCTTCAGTGCTCTGCTGTCCAGTCCCCAGCATTCACCAGGCCTCGCCCCTTCGCCCATGAGCCAGGGTCACCCTCAGGCTCTGATGGGTTTGCAGAAGACAGCATGGAAGGTGTGTGTCCTGTCCAGGGTCCTGGCCTCCTGACTGCTGGGATTGCCGCTCTTTCTCTGACCCCTGCCATGTCCCTCCCTCCCTCTGGGGGTCCTCCCACCTTCTGCTGGGCTGGCTCCCCTCCTCTGCTTTCCGGCATATATGGGTGGAGAGGCTCAGATGTGGTTCTCTGACCTCCTCTCACGCAATCCGGCTCCCCGGGGATCTCTGTGCCTACTGCATCTCTCCCCATCTCTGGAGAAACCCCATCTCCAGTGTAAACCTCCTACCTGAGGTCCATACCACCTGGAGCCAGGAGACCAGAACCGTTCCTCCTCCCGCCCCTGCCCCCACACCTGCTACCCCTCTGTATGTCCAACCTGACTGATGGCTGTGCCCCTACTCATCCTCCCAAGTCAGAAGTCTGACTAATCCTCGGGGTCCCCTTCCTCTCACTCCCTGCCCCCACCCACCCTCTGGCCAATTGGTTATTAAGGCCAGGTAGTCACCTGCTGTAAGCAGCACTGCCCCTCGTCTTGACTCAGGCCCCGGCCTCTCACTTGCGTGGTTATCACAGCCCCTTCCACCTCACCTGGCCCCTGGAGTCTTCGATAACACCTTCTATCACCTCACCCTCCATCCACAGGGCCCCTTGTCATTGGAAGCATTCCTTCAAGGGGTGGCTTCTTGGCCCTCGGTCACCTGCCCCAGGCTTGTTTTGATAAGTGTGGGCATTTCTGGAGTAATAGCTGCATGCCCCCTTTGAAAAGGACAGTGATCTCCTCTGCTCTTCCAAATACATGCTTCAGCAAACAGGTCTCTAGAAGGTCCTTAGGCAAACCTTCTCTCACAAACACCAAAACCTAAAACACAACACAACACCCAGCCTCTCAGCTGGTCTGCCCCCCCGGCTGCTGATATGACAGCCTCGTCTCAGCAAGGGCCCGCCTTCCAGCACTGATCTTTCTACCAGCAGCACCCATGTCCCTGAGCAGGTGAGAAGTGCACGCTCTGAGTACAGCTCAGCTCGCTGGGTCTGTCATCGTGGACCACAGCACGTGGCTAAAAGCGGGGGCTGTCACTAAACTGCCTGTGTTTCAAGCCCGTCTCTGCTAACTCCCTAGCTGCAGGTCCCTGGGCGAGTGATGGCACCTCTCCGTCCCTCAGCTTCCTATCTGTACAGTGAGGATAAGTGCGGAGTTACGAAGGAGGGTGGTTAAAGTCTTATGTGAGGTCATATAGGTAAAGCCCTTAGAGCAAAGCTGGGCTCATAGGATGGGATTTGGGTGAGCAGAGAAGGGAGAGGAGGACATCCTGGAAGGTGGAATAGCACCAGCGAGGGCACAGACTCAGGACTGTGGGAATGAGGGCCAAGCCAGATGCTGGGGATGGTCTTTGCAAGGGGCCCACGTGGTGCCAAGGCCTGGCCCCTCTCCCAAGCTTGGCTTTCCTTCCACAGGCTCGGCCATCGCCTACTCTGCATACACGTTCCCAGACGCGCTGGTGTGCACCACCTTCCATGACTACTATGTGGCTCTGGCTGTGCTGAACACCACCCTCAGCACAGGCCTCTCCTGCTACTCCAGGTACTAGGTGGCTCTGACCTCAGATGGGAGGGGAGGGAGGGCCTTGCATGCAGCTCCTGGGACTCTTTGAGGGAACCGGAAAGAGGTGGGCTCGTGGAAAGCGTGCTTGGGAACCTAGCACCCAGTTGCAGCTGATTTCCCATTGTGGCAAAATCAGCTTCCTGGGCATGTAAGCGCCAGCCATCCATGCTCAGAGAGTCTCATACTTGGTTTAATACTCTGCTGCCTTTTTTTTGTTGTTGTTTTTTAGAGACGGAGTCTCACTCTGTCACCCAGGCTGGAATGCAATGGCATGATCTCGGCTTACTGCAACCCCCAGCTCCTGAGTTCAAGCAATTCTCCTGCCTCAGCCTCCCATATAGCTGGGATTACAGGCACTCGCTACCACGCCTGGCTAATTTTTGTATTTTTTGTAGAGACAGGGTTTCACCATGTTGGTCAGGCTGGCCTTGAACTCCTGACCTCAGGTGATCCGCCCACCTTTGCCTCCCAAAGTGCTGGGATCACAGGCGTGAGCCACCGCGCCCGGCCAGTTTCGTTGTTCTTGTTGTCGAGACAAGGTCTCACTCTGTGGCCCAGGCTGGTGTGGTCTCAGCTCACTGCAACCTCAGCTTCCTGGGCTCATCTGCTGCATTCTTAACAATTTGTAATGATTTTTGAACAAGGGGTTCCCTGCTCTTTGATTTGGTACCAGGCTCTACAAATTATGTAGCTGGTTCTATTGCTGGACAAGTCGCTTATCCTTGAACTTCAGTTTGCTCATTTATAAAATAAGGCCATTACAAACACCCCTAAGACAAATGGAAAGATTTCAGGTAAGGTACCCAGGACGCTTAGCACAAACCTGGCACAGAGGAGATGCCCCATAAAAGTGTGGTTGCTAATGGTGACTGGGTGTGCCTGCCCCTGGGCATATGTGGTAGATGATGAGTATTATTCAAATGCCCGATGCATCCCTCATCGCTGTAAGTCAGGCCCAGCTTACTGGCTCTAATTTCCACTGTTTTTTTTTTTCTTTCAAGAAAACTCACTGTGGCATGATTGCAGGGAATGTGGTTATGAGGATAACTACACCCTTTTATTCAGCTCTCTGTAAAAGCAAACTGCATGGAAGTTCCTTTCCCTAAAGGAACTCTCCTGCACGGTTGTGCTGGGGTGGCAGCCGTGGCTGAATGGTGCCAAGGCTGGTACTTCTGGGCTGGAGGGCTTTGGTGCTGGTCAGGTAAGGTAGGCTGGCAGGCACCTCTGAATTCCTTGTCCCCCGCAGTGGCAACTCCAGCGAGCCAGTGGAGTCTCCCTGCCTCCACTTACCCCCTTCTCCCTAGGAAAAATACAGGGAGGTAAGATGTGCCCCATCTGGTAACTTCTCCAGAATAATTTTGCCTCCAGCTTCCTTGGGGTGACACTTGGGATGTATGGGGCCGAGGGAGAGCAGGCAGATTTCACAGACTGGACAAACCAGTTTTTTTGTTTTTGTCTTGTATTTTTAAATGGAAGGATAGATTCTGAAGCAGCATGGGGAATACTTGTTCCAACTTACCTTCTATTCACCTGTGCTGAGACAGGCTGGAAGCGGGGCGTTACCTTCCATGGGAGTGAAAGTTTCCTTTCTAGGAGTCCCTGCCGTGGATGACAGGAGGCATAGCACACACAGAAAATAATGCTGCGGAAAGAAGCCCAACAGAGATGAAGCCAGCCCTGAAGGCACAGTGCCCGGGTGCGTGGGCTTACGGACGGGCCATGGTCCGGGAACCTGGACACTCTTGGACCTGGTCCTTGGACCAGTCACTGCCCCTGTCTGCCTGACTCTCCCAGGTCTGTGTGGCTCTGGTGTTTGAAAGTTAGGATTAGACAGGGAGAGCACCATAGGTTGAGGGAGCAGAAGAGGAAGAGAAGGCTTCACAAGTGTGAAAGAAAGTCTCCAGAGTGAGGCCAGGTGCTGTGGCTCATGCCTGCAATCCCAGCACTTTGGGAACCCCAGGTGGGTGGATTACCTGAGGTCAGGAGTTCGAGACCAGCCTGGTCAACATGGTGAAACCCCATCTCTACTAAAAATATGAAAGTTAGCTGGAGAGGAGGACTCGAGAGGCTGAGGCAAGAAAATCTCTTGAACCCGGGAGGCAGAGGTTGCAGTGGGCCAGATTGTGATACCGCACTCCAGACTGGGCAGCAGAGCAAAAAATAAAAATAAAAATAAAATTGTATTTTTAGTAGAGACGGGGTTTCGACATGTTGGCCAGGCTAGTCTTGAACGCCTGAACTCAGGTGATCCACCCTCCTCAGCGTCCCAAAGTGCTAGGATTACAGGTGTGAGCCACCATGCCCAGCCTAGCTTGCTTTGTTCTAGCCAGGCCTCTTCTCTGATGGTTCAGATATAACAGATGCGGTCTTTTGGATGTGGCATGCGTGGTGTCTTCGGAGGAACTTGTCTGGCAGGCCAGCTTTGCCAGGCATCTCCTGGGTGCCTGAGTTTGGGGGCTTTTCCCTTCGCCAGTGAAATGGATTATTTATTTATGGAACACATCTGTGGCTATTCCATCCCTCCACCCATCTACACACCCATCCAACATTCCTTAAATGCCTGCCATACTCCAGGTACGATGTTAGGAGCTGGGGGTGCCAGGAGGATGCTCTTGCCTTCAGAGAGCACCCAGTGCCATAGGAAACACAGACTGCAGATGCCCCCAAAGGCCCAGCATGAGGCCATCATACTTTAGAGTGTAGTAGGAAGGAGTGTAATGTAAACAAATAATGATAAGGCAAAATGCCAGCTTCTGGGATACACAGAGTTCTGAGAAGTGGAATTAGGACTGGATATTGAAGAAGGCCGGACACTTTTACTGGAGAGGAAGACAGAGTGACCAGCCTGGAGAAGGGTGAGGACTGCAGAGAGGGTGGGCCAGCATCGGGAAGCAGCAAGGTGCATCAGAGCTGCCAGAGTATGAAAGGGTGGATGGAGGACAGCAGCTAGAGAGGGGCTTGGAGGGTGGGCTGGGGGCCTGTGGGTCCTATGAGGACTGGCCCTTTGCTCATGAAGGATGAGAATCTCCTAGGGAAAAATAGAAATCCTGTGCACTCAGCTTCCATGCCCTGAGGGGTTTCCAGGTGTATTAATAGCAATTGAAGTGGGAGCTGAGGGGAGAGGGAGGTGGGGGGCTATGTTGGAATCGAAAGGGAGGAAGTGGGCACATGCCACACTCTTGCAGCCAGGAGGAGAGAGGGCATTCCAGCTGTGGCCCTTCCAGTGCCCTTTGTACCTTGTCCTTGCTCCACGTTCCCTCACCCGTGGTTTTGCCGCTCTTACAAGCCCTGTCCTCGCCTCTGTTCGTTCCCTGCCTCTGCCTCGGGTGTCTGGGGAGAAAGCTGACTTGTGTGCAGGAGTGACACTGGCCCTGACTAACTTCAGCAGAAGAGGGGAGAGAGGAGGGTGTGGGCATCTGGAGGCCTGGATTTCAGCCCTGCTCCTCCAGACTTGCTATGTGGCCTCAGGGCAGTCACTGTCCCCTCTGGGCCTCAGGGTCTGCGTCGTCAACGAGAGCATCTGAGACAATGTCCTCTGTGTCCTTTCTGGTTTGGGCATCCTGCGATGCCAATGCCTTAGTGTCTTCTCCAGGTTTCCTCTCCCAGCTGCCTTCCTCCCCCAGGCTCCACCCTGCCTCTCCCTCCTGCTCCATCCGGCCGCAGTTGGGCAGGATCGGGAGAGAACCACCTTCCCCTTCCTGAAGCACAGTGGGAGATCAGGAACCTCATTATCAGCCTGATAGTTATCCTATGCTTGCCCCAAAATCAGTATTGAAATGGCATTCATTCCAATACAAGGCCGACCATTAAGGTCAATCTCAACATAGAGAGCTTTGTCGTGTCCCAAGTGGTTTTTGGTTCTTACTATCATGGACTTTGGTTCAAATGAATATGTTCCAGAAAACTGCCGTCTCATTCTGTAGCATTTGAGAGGAGAAATGAGAGAATGCATGCCCTCTTCATGGGTCTTGGAGCAAGGCGGGGGTGGCCGGGGCCCTGGCCTGCTCATGCCTGCACAGGAAAGGGCTGCCAGTCCCTTCAGGAATGTCAGTTACATGGTGAGTGCTGTATATCACGAATCACTGACCATCTCCATCCAATGCATCCAATCATTGATTGCTTTTTTTTTTTTTTTTTTTTTCAAAGAGCTGCTGAGTGAGAAACCCCTTGGTCAGAGCTGTGAGGGTGAGAGATTAATTTTCACCCATGAGCTCTGCTGTCAGGACAGCTTGGCAGTTGCTGAGGCAGCTCAAAGGGGTGGAGCTGACCTGGAAGGGGTCTGGGGTCAGCGCTGGAGGTAGAAGGCTCAGCAGGCTTGGTTCTCAGACAGAGGCTTGGCCAGAGGATAAAGTGCTGCTATGGCCACGTGGGAGCATGGGGAAATGTTCACATTCCTGCAGTTCTCCAAAATAAGACAACTCCTACACAATACAACAGCCATAACGGGCCAGGAGCAGTGGCTCACGCCTGAAATCCCAGCACTTTGGGAGGCCGAAGTGGGCGGATCATCTGAGGTTAGGAGTTCAAGACCAGCCTGGTCAACATGGTGAAACCCCGTCTCTACTAAAAATAAAAAATTAGCCAGGTGTGGTGGTGCGCACCTGTAGTCCCAGTTACTCAGGAAGCTAAGGCAGGAGCATCGCTTGAACCCAGGAGGCGGAGGTTGCAGTTAGCTGAGATTGCTCCACTGCACTCCAACCTGGGCTAAAGAGTGAGACTCCATCTCAAAACAAAACAAAACAACCATAACCACCGCCCCTCATGCATTCGTGTGTGCATCTCTGCAGTAGAACGATTTTTCCAAACGCCCACTAGTTTCAAGCCCAAGTTCCGGAATTTCAGTTGCTAATTCTTCCAGCTTTGTTGTCAGGGTTTAGAACAGGCTGTGTTGAATCGACCCTCTCCTAACGAAGGGTTCTTCCGCAACCCAGTGTATGCTGCCAACGTCGTTCTGGGCAGAGTCCTGATTTCCTTACAGCAGCCTCTCAACCCTCTAGTGCGGGACTGCAGTAAGCCTGAGCAGGCTGGGCTGTTCCCACTAGAGGGCTGGCTGCACGTGGAACACCTCCGAGGAGTCACGGCTGTGGCGACATCGCGTGGCCTGATGCGGAACTGCATCTTGGTAGCTGGCGGCCCCTCTCCCATGCTACTGGTCCTTCTGCCTTTTTCTCTGTTGCTGTCTCTTTTCTGTTCTGCTTTTCCCCCCATTCTTTTCTTTCCCTCTAGACTCGGCTTTGCAGCTGGAGAGGCTGGTCCGTTTGTCCCGGGGGAAACACTTTATCGGGCCGAGTGAAATGTTGTCTCAAGTCACAGAAAATCCATGCTTTGGGGGATGGCCCTCGCCAGCCAGAGTTCTTCGAGTGTAAGTGGCCAAAGGAGCCCTTAAGAGCGAGCCTGTCAACCCAGAGAGACGGCAGGCGGTGGCAGGGCAGAGGGAGGGAGGGGGCTACCTGCCTTGGCGGGTCAGGGTCTGCTGGAGGACTGAGAAGGCAGGCTGGTGAGGCAGGTAGCAGTACTGTGTGCCTCTGCTCCGGGGCAGAGCAGGCTGGGAAGGGTGAAGACTGGGCGGGGTCTGAGGCTGTTCAGCCTACTGCAGGAGGCAGAGGGGAAGGCATTTGGGAGCCAGAAAGTCCAGGGCTTAAATCCTAGCTCTGCTTCTCATTGGCTCATCTGATTTCTGGCAGATCACCCAGAACCTGTTTGTTCCCTCCTGTTCCTATTTTCTGGACCAACATAGATAGGAGGTGGTGAAGGAGAGAGAATGGCACCCCATGATGCAACTTTAGAGCTGCCATTTAGTCTGTGTGGCTGTGCCCTGCAGTTTAAACACCTGGTGGGCACTGTTTCATCAAATCCTTACAACAAGGCTGTGACGAGGCACAGTCATTGCCTCGGTGTTACACCTAAGGATCAGGAGGTAGACAAAGATTAGTGACCTGCCGAGGTCACATGGTTGTGAAGGGCAGAGTCAGGATTTGAACCCAGTGTGTCCCGATCAAGCCCTCCATGCGAAATCCCAGTGCTGTGCTGTCTCATCTGTCCTGGAGTTTGGCTGTGGTTCTTTCTTGGGCGGGGGCGGGGGGTGGGGGGGAAGATGCATCTGAGTCCATTCTCCTTGAGCTTCTCACCTGATACGTGTCGTGTGTGTGTGTGACTTACTGGCAGGGTCAGGAAAGAAGGAACATGAAAGTGGGCGGAGTGAAGTTGGGGCTTGTCTTGGGAGGCTGTGGGGCTTCTTGAGGCACACAGAGGTGTCCCTTTCCCCAGCAACAGGAATCCCTGGGTGGCCATTTGTGCTCAGTTGCCCTGAGGACTGAGTGGAGCACACGAACCTGGAGAATGTCCGCATCCTCGGACCTCCTTCTGCACTGGGTCCTGGGGATCCAGGCCTGACCAGACCTGGTGCCTGCCTGAGGAGGGTTCCACAGCTGCCTGATGTGGGAGTCCCTGCATACTCCATGCTGAGGGATAAGGCAGCAGTGGGGCTTATGGTCAAATGGCTTTACTGGCTCATAAGAGGCATGGGCAGGCTGGGTGCAGTGGCTCACGCCTATAATCCCAGCACTTTGGCGGATGAGGCGGGTGTATCACGAGGTCAAGAGATCGAGACCATCCTGGTCAACATGGTGAAACCCCGTCTCTACTAAAAATACAAAAATTAGCTGGGCACGGTGGCGCATGCCTGTAGTCGCAGCTACTCGGGAGGCTGAAGCAGGAGAATTGCTTGAACCCAGGAAATGGAGGTTGCGGTGAGCCGGGATCCTGCCATTGCACTCCAGCCTGGGTAACAAGAATGAAACTCTGTCTCAAAAAAAAAAAGGCATGGGCAGCCTGGACAGGGAATATGGGTCTGGGCTCAGAGGGAACACAGATGGCATTTGAAGGGGAAAGAACAGGTTTGTGGACTGGGACTGAGGTTCTTGGAAGCAGAGGCGGGAGCCACAGCAGGACACAGAACCCATCCCTGCAGAGAGTATGACGAGGGGCAGAACTGTCAGCAAAGGCTGAAAGGGCCCCAATGCATACATTGCTTCTGCAGACTGCATCAGAACAGCCACTCCACCAAGAGCCTCGGTGCATGGCTCTGCATCCACTGTACTGGCTTCCTTACCCTGCAGTCCTGTGGGCCCCGAGGGAGGACAGAGCCCTCCACAGTACATCTCAGCATTGATGCGGGGACTATACCTGTCCCTACTACCTGGCCTTGGCTGCCCAACCAGCACTGGTGAGCACTTCCTTACCAGGGCCTCAGTTCTGGGCTGTGGTTTTGTGCCTGCCTCCCCATGTCCTCCCAGGGTGCAGCCTGCCCTTGGTGCTGCCCAGCTCCCCATACCCTGAGCTGCTGCCCCAGGCTGGGCCCAAGTCAGCTGAGGCCCTGTCACGTGCGGTCCAGGGGGACCTGCCTGTCTTCTCAACAATCAGCATCACTTGTTTTATTGTTGCTGTCAGCTGTCTTTAGATTGTAGGTTGGGCAAGGGTGGCAACGAAGGAGAGAAGGAAAGACTTCATGTTTATTTAGTTTTCCCAAGCCAAGTGTCCCTGTGTGTGGTATAAATATTCTAGAAAGCTCTCCAAGGATCAAGTTCCTACTTGAACGAAGATCTCCTTCATGACAATACCCGGCCTCCAACTAGATGGGTGCATCTCTGCCTTTGCAGTGTGCTCCCCAAGCGTCTGTGCCAGTGGGCCCCCCTTTCCCCCTACCTGTCCCCATAGTAACTAGGGTTTTAAAAGGCTCTTTGGCAGTTATGTAACTTGGCCCTCGAAGGGTTTCTGCCCAGCACCTCCTTTCTGGCTTAGTCTAGACACCACTGCTTCCCACTCTCAGGAGGGGGTCTCTCTGGAGATCTTTTTGCATCTGAAGTTTTGTCGCTTTCATCGGGGTGGGAGGAATGGACGAGGCTGGTGGAGAAGCTGCTGGCCATGGAGCTTGTACAAAAATGCTTGTCCTCTGTTGATGACCAGGCACTCGGTGTGTATGCCTGTGTGTGTGTAATTTACTGAGATGCTTTTCATTCCATTTCCTCCCCACTTTCCTTCCCTGATTTAGGTTCCTTGAAATCAAGAAGCCCATACTCTGTAAGGTGATTCGCATCCTCGCCTTTGCTTATCCCTACATTTGGGACTCCCTCCCCATCTTCTACAGGGTAAGGACTGGCTGCAAATCCTCTCTGCCTGTTGGCAATGCCAGGAAGTCAGTTGCTTCCTGAGCTTCTGGGGGTCAAAACACTGCAATGCAAACCATAGAACAAAACAGGAGTTGAGACCCAGGTGCTGCCTTGGTGGCACTGGAGGAGTGGTTAGGAGATGGCATAAACACAGAGGCCCTGACAGACAATATGACTGGGGGCTCGGGAACGTCAGAGCCAGGCAGAGCAGGAGCCTGGGGCTTTGGGGGTGAGCAGGCAGCCTGGGGCTTTGGGGTGAGCAGGCAGCCTGGGGCTTTGGGGTGAGCAGGCAGCCTGGGGCTTTCGGGGTGAGCAGGAGGGCGAACTCTACAGGTGGATCTCTAATACCTGCTGTCAGACCTTGGACAAATTTTCTACATCTCGATTTCCCTCATCTGTAAATTGGGCCTGATAACACCTCATGGGCCATGGGGAGGGTGACACGGAGAGCATGTAAAGTGCTGACTGGTAGCAGGAGTTTGCGAATGCATGATTCTATCATCTAGTATGTGGTTAGTACTGAAGGAAAAGGTATGAATGAGGGTCTTAAAGGAGTGATGGGAATGAGATGGAAAGCATAAAGGAAAACGGTGTAGGAGGGACGACAAGCAGGACAGGAAGGGGAAAGTCCATGCACTTTCAAACCATATAAGCTTGAGTTCAAATTCTGGTCCCACTGCTCACTGGCTGTGTGACCTCAGGCAGGGCACACAACTCTGAGCCTCAGTTTAGTTTCCTCATCTGTACCTGAGAGTACCAGCCCCTCCTTTGTATCAGGTAATGATGATTAATCAAAACAATGGATCTGCTAGGCCCCGAGTGCCTGTCCAGTACCCAGTGAGTGAAGCTCCCTCCTAGAGGCAGTGTCCTGTGGGTTTGAAGACTGAAGCCCAGATGGTAGGGCTGAGGGGCAAAGGGAGGGGCAGATCCAGTGCCTCCATCCAGAAGCTGGGGCACTGAGCACATTCTCTGTGCTCTGCCTCTGTGGATCTGAGGGAGCCCCTAAGATGGGGGTGCCGCCCGTTGCCCTCACTCCTTCCTCAAGGGCGCAAACCACACACAGGAAACCGAAAGCAGGCAGAACAATTCTGTCCCATGCACCCCCAAATCAGGCAGTGCAGGCCCTGTGTTGTGACAAACGCTGTGTGCTTCTGGCATGTGGCTGTCAGAGGAGGGCAGAGGAAGGGGAGGTCCAATTCTAAGTGGTGATGTTGATGCTGGAATCAGCCTGGCTGGATTCAGATGCCGACTTCACTTCTCAGTAAGTGATGTGCAAGTCACTTTCCGGCCCACTTTCCTCATCTACAAAATGGGGAAAGTGAGAGTCTGCCTTATGCTAATTGTGGCTGAGATGAAATGATGCATGGAAGAGGCTTGGCTTGCTGCCCTTGGTAAGTGCTAGCTACTATGGCTGTTTACAGCAATAATACAAAAACTGTATGTAGCTCTGAAACAGTATAGTGGCCATCACTGATACTTTTGGGTGATTCAGAAGGCCTTCCCAGGGTTTCTAGGCCTTAAAGCCTTGATTAGGAGCACCAGTTCAGTGGATGTGCTGATAAAAAGCGAGTTCTGGTGTGAACCCACCACTTACTGTACAGTTGCCCCTTAAACAACACAGGTTTGAACTTAGCATGGATTTTCCTCCACCTCTGCCACTCATGAGACAGCAAGACCAACCCCTTTGCTTCTTTCACTGGCTTTTCTCTAGCTTACTTTATTGTAAGAATATAGTATATACTACATACAAAGTATGTGTTGGTTGACAGTTTCTTACAGGCAAGGCTTCCAGTCAACAGGAGGCTACTGGTAGTTAAGTTTGGAGAAGTCAGAAGTTGTACATGGACTTTTGGCTGCAGGGGGTCAGTGCCCCTAGCCTGTATGTTAAGAGTCAACTGTACTTACATTTTATCCCCAGAAAGAGTAGCAATTAGTTAACAGGATTTTTACCTTTTTTTTCCTTTCCCATTCCTTCCTTCTTTCCTTCTTTTCCCCCTTCAGTAAGTAGATAACCCAAAACTCTTATGAGCATTTGGGGGATTGAAATACAATAGTCTTGAGTCTCAACTGACAACACTCAGGGTAGGAGTTCCGCTCACATGGTGCCTGAGTTTCCTCTCCCAGGCCACAGACCTGAGGAGGCGAGGGCCTTGGCTTCTGGAGTTTGTGTGTGTGCTGACATGTGTGGGTGTCAGAGCCCCCAAAGTCCCAGCTCCAGTTGCTGAGAAGGAAGAGGGCCTGCCTCAGGCCTGTCCTCTCAAGACCTGATGTTTCTTCAAACACCTGCAGCTATTCCTGATCCCAGGGGAGAGTGCACAGAATGAAGCCTCCTTGTACCACCAGAAGCACATGATCATGACCCTCCTGGCCTCTTTCTTGTACTCTGCACACCTGCCAGAGCGCCTAGCCCCGGGACGCTTTGACTACATCGGTGAGTGCTACTCTGTTTACTGCCCTCCTGGCTGGGAAAGGTCCTGTCTCTGACTCCACTGCATGTAGCTGCAAAGGCAGGGATGGGCAGGGAGAGACGCCAAGGTGAGTGACATTGCAAGTTGACAGAGGCCAGGATGTCCACAGCAGTGCATTGTTAGGTAGCATGGGCAGGATGGAGGGCAGGTGGACCCAGAAGCCTAAAGCATTCTGATGGAGTATGGAGCCAGTGTGTCCTATGGTCATCTAGAACATGGAATCCAATTATTAAATGAACATTTGATAATGTTAATGGGGCTGGGCGTGGTGGCTCACGCATGTAATCCTAGCACTTTGGGAGGCCAAGGTGGGCAGATTACTTGAGCCTGTGCTGCAGACAATCCTGAGCAACATAGTGAAACCCTGTTTCTAAAATAAATAAATAAATAAAAAAGTTAGCCGGGTGTGGTGGGATGCGTCTGTGGTCCCAGCTACTCGGGAGGTTGAGGCAGGAGGCTGGCTGGAGCCTGGGAGGTGGAGGCTGCAGTGAGCCATCATCATGTACTGCACTCTAGTCTGGGTGAGAGAGGTCTTATCTGAAGAAAAAATAAAAAGAACATTGGGGGCAGCTGTGGAGAGGAAGAGGAAAGACAGGATGAAGATGGCTCTGAGGGTACCAGACAACAGGGGGGTATGCAGAAAAGGGGAAAGGCGACAGCGTCTGTCTTTGTCTTGACCATGGTGAGTGAGGGGGCCAGGAGTCGTGGTAGAGCAGCAGTTTCTCAAGGGGTGGTCATCAGCCAAGCAGCATCAGCATTATCTGAGAACATGCAGATTCTCAGGCCCCACCCCAGACCTCCTGAACCAGAAACTCCCAAGAGTGGAACCCGATACTCACACAGAGGTCGAATCATCCTCCAGATGAACCTGAGCTCACTGAAGTTTGACATGATGTAGGGTAGAGAGGAGGTGTCAGGGTCACGGCGGTTTCCACCTGCTGGCAGAGCTCTTTACCCCTTTCTGTCTAGGGAAGGTGGCGGGGGCATGCAGAATGTGCCTCCTCCGCCCTGGCTCTGGGACTGGCTACGAGGAGGCACCCTTGCATCACTCCTGGTGAGGCTAACAAGACTTTGGGGTGAGAGTTCCTTAGATGAGTACATGGGAATCAAAGGGCCAGTCATTGCCCCCATGAGGGCAGGAAGCTTGCTTCTCGCCAAGTCCATTTTGTCCCTGATTTTCCATCTCCTTCCACTAAGAGATGTGGCCAGATGTGGTTTATTTGATCTGATCAAAGTTTTAGCTCCTTTCCTTCTTTCGTTGTGTCAGAAAGGGTCGTAACTAGCAAAATGCTTAGAGGGCAGATTTCCAAAAAGAAGGAAAAGGAGAGGCTAGGGAATAGGAGTCACCAGCACCCTGACTGCCATGTCCACCTCCCCAGCCCCACTTGATGAAGTAGAGGTGGCTGTGTAGCAAGTCTTGGAGGGGGTGCAGGAAAAAGAGCCCTGGGTCTTCTTTTGCTACCACTCAGGTTTCTTAACATTTTATTTCTTCATCTCTATGTATCCTCTTGGGCCTAGGGGTACAGAGTGGAAAAACACCCCTGTGGGGGACATTTCCTAGAAAATAGTTCTTGACAGATCATTAAGATCTGGGACATTGTTAGTCCTTAACTAACAGAGTCTGCTGGAGGTGGGAATCCCTCTCTGGCCATGAGCCCCAGATTTCCTGGGAAGTGCTGGCCTGGCATGGTTTGGCCCACAGGAAGCTCCTCCCTATTCCTGTTAGGCAGGATTGTTGAAATCACTCTTCCTGCTGCAGCCACATTTCAGATACATGCAATGCCGATGGTTCTTTCTGTCTTTTATCTCATGCCCCAGTGGAGACAGGCTTGAGCCTCAGCTGGAGAAGGTGCCTAGTTACCGGCTTTGCCCTGTGTTCTGCGAATACAGCTCTCTGCTGGAGAAGAAACCACTTTGCTGTATCACATACAGATTTGGAAATCAAACACAGCCCACTAGTATAGCTTGAGTAAGGCAGGTGTGGCAGCTCCAGGCACATCTTCCTCCTGGGAGACAGATACTGGGAGCCTCACAGCTCCCTGCTGTAGGAAACTTATCCACTTGAGAATCCTGGACCCTTCTACCTTCTTATTCCTGCCTCTGCTCCTGCTCCTGTGGAGGTGGCCAGGCTGCTTCAGTCCTAGGACACATTTTTTTCTTTTTCTTTTTTTTTTTGCAGAGACAAGTAAACATTTATTTTTGTACCTTTCCTCCTATGTGTATTTCAAGTCTTTCTCACAAGGCCCCAGGAATCACCAGATTCAATTATGTCCCTGGACTTGTCCACTACTGCAGGAGTCTTAGGGAGCCTTGTACAAATGCTAGAGTTACTCAATTACCAACATTAAACCCTAGGATAAGAGATGCAGCAAAGCAGGACTCCTTCCTCCGTGGAATGTGCTGATTTCAGATGAGGCAGCAGCCAATGTAGAAAACGCTGGAATTTTTCCTTGGAACTGGATTGTGATGAGAGGTACTTGCCATGAACATAGCTACTGTTTTTTTCTTTTGAGACAGAGTTTCGCTCATTGCCTAGGCTAGAGTGCAATGGTGCAATCTTGGCTCACCGCAACCTCTGCCTCCCAGGTTCAAGAGATTCTCCTGCCTCGGTCTCCCGAGTAGCTGAGATTACAGGCATGGGCCACCATGACCCGCTAATTTTTGTATTTTTGGTAGAGACAGGGTTTCGCCATGTTGGTCAGGCTGGTCTCGAACCCCCAACTTTAGGTGATCCGCCCTTCTCAGCCTCCCAAAGTACTGGGATTACAGGCATGAGCTACTGCGCCTGGCCAGCTACTGTCTTTTCTTTGACCCTTCCTTTCCAGTTTTTAAAGATAAAGCAGGAAATAATCTTCTCTGAAGATACTTGATACAAATTCTCCAAACCCAAAAACACATGCTTCCACTTCATTGATAAAAATTTATTGCAGTTGGCACCTGGTGCCAGTTCAGCTGGCGGATGACCTGATTGATGCGTTCACCCCGATAGCCAGGTGTGCCCATCTCCTTGAGGAAGCCCGCTCTATTTTTGGTAGCATGACAGGCCACTGAGAGGTGGAAAGGGCGCAAGAACCATGAGATCTCCTGGAAATGCTTTCCCGGAAAGGCAATTTCATGAATGAGGTCTTCCAAGCAAATGACACCAAACTTCCCCAGGTGCTCCTCAATCACAGTGTTGTCTGTCAGAGAGATGGTCTTATTCTTGACCCTGGCTTGTCCACGTTTCAAAATGAGTTCCCGAACAGACTTCAGATTTGGAAATCTCCAGGTCACATAAGGTTCCACTATACGCAGCATTTTTAGGTTCTGGGGAGTGACTTTTACAAAGACACCACTAAAAATTTTCTTTAGGCGAAGTCTTGCAATGGTTCTCTGCACCAGTAAACGCACACCATCAATCCTTTCAATGCGTACGACAAAGGCCAAAGAATGCTTATCTGGCAATTCCAAGGCGTGAGGCTTCACTTCTAGTCGTCTGACACGCACCTTGTCACGTGTCTGCCACCAGGAATCATGTAGGAATGATTCCAATCGCTTAAACCTGGGCCCTTTCCCTTTCCTCTGCTCCTTCTTTGCCAAAAGTGCCTGCTTTGCCTGAGTGGCTTTGAGGGCTTGATAAGCCTTCCTCTTTTTCAGGAGATTTTCTGGAACCAAAGGGATTTCTCTTTGCTCTTGCTCCGCCATCTTTGCGGTGTAGCAGCTACTCCCTAGGACACATTTATTGAATATTTCTTCTGAGATAGGTCCTGGGGGTGCAACACTGAAGTTTTTATTTTTCTAGAGATGGGATCTCCCTGTGTTGCCCAGGCTGGTCTCAAACTCCTGGGTTCAAGCAATCCTCCTTCCTTGGCCTCCCAAAGTGCTGGGATTACAGGTTTGAGCCACCATGCCCAGGCTTTTTATTATTATTTTTTAAAACCAAAGGAAAATCCTTATTTAACTCTTACGTTGTATTAGTTCACTAGGGCTGCCATACCAAAGTATCATAGACTGGGTCTAAACAACTGAAATTTATTTTTGCACAATTCTGGAGGCTGCAAATCTGAGATCGAAGTGTTGGCAGGGTTGATTTCAACGGAGGCCTCTCTCTTTGGCTTGTTGATGGCTGTTCTTTCCATCTCTCTTCATGTGGTCTTTTTCTCTGTGTACATGCATGTCCGTGTCCTAACCTCCTTTTCTTACAAGGACACCAGTCATAGTGCATTAGGCCCATCTTAGAGACCTCATTTTTACTTGTTTCTCTAAGGATCCTATCTGCAAATATGGTCTCATTCTGGGGATTAAGACTTCAGCACATGTATTTTTCAGGGACATCATTCAGCCCATAACACATGTAGTCTCCTCCTTACTCCTGGGGTCTAAGGGTTGTCCTCCAAACTGCCCCTGACCCTAGGCATTGGATTTGTTTTCTGACCAACTGCCAACCACCCAGCATGTCCCTGTCCACTCCCACTACCCTCTACTTGGCTCCCACCCTGTGTAATGAGCACCATGTGAGCTGGGTCCAGCATGGTATCAGGGAGGAAGAGTCCTGGTCAGGTCTGTGATTAACCAGCAGTAAGGAGAGGTCCACTTGGTTAGCGGCCAACAGACAATTCAGCCAGCTTCTCCTTCAGCATTAAAGTGAGATTCTGAGCTGATCAGTGCTGGCTCTCAAGAGATGACCTTTGGCAGAAAGTGGTGCCTAATTTTTTCATCTGAAAAATGAGACTAGTAGCTAAGTTGTTTTAAAAAAGAATTTGGATTTGGTTTCTCTGGTGGCCCTTTTATTTTTCTCATATTGCTTCTTAAAAATAAACTTATTGGCCAGGTGTGGTAGCTCACGCCTGTAATCCAAGCACTTTGGAGGCCAAGGCGGGCGGATCACCTGACGTTGGGAGTTCAAGACCAGCCTGACCAACATGGTGAAACTCCGTCTTAAAAAATAAATAAACAAAAATAAATTTATTATCACTTCTCAGCCTTTTGGCTAAGATCAAGTATAAAATAAATTTATTAAGGTATATTTCACATATTCAATAATTCCCTGACGTCAAGTATACAATTTAATGATATTTTCAGTAAAGTCACCATACATCAGTTTTAGAACATTTTCGTCCCCTCCATCAGACCCATGCACTGTTAATCCCTATTCTCACTCCTGCTTGAGGCAGCCATCAGTCTACCCTCTGTCTTTACAGATTTGCATATTCTGGACATTTCATACAAAAGGAATCATATAATATGTGGTCTCCTGTCTGGTTTCTTTCACTTAGCATCATTTTTGCATACATGCCATGGCATGTATCAGTACTCATTCCTTTTAATTGCTGATATTGGTGGCCTTTTGTGTTTGCCATAGGTCACAGTCACCAGCTGTTTCATGTGTGTGTGATCCTGGCCACACACCTACAGATGGAAGCCATACTTCTGGACAAGACTCTGAGGAAGGAATGGCTCCTGGCCACCTCCAAGCCCTTCTCTTTCTCTCAGATAGCTGGAGCCATACTTCTGTGCATCATTTTCAGCCTCGGCAACATAATTTATTTCTCAGCTGCTCTGTATCGGACTCCTGAGCCAGAATTACGTAAAAAAGAAACTTGATTCAGACCATAAGCCTTTCATGCCAGATGCCAACGTTAAGCCGCAACACCTTAACCACCACAAGCCGGGGTGGTTACAGCTTATAACGGCCGAAATATTCATAATCGTTGGTGTCTTTTGTGTCTTTTGAATGAACTCATTTCAAAAAGGTATTCAGCTAGAGAACGTTCTCTAAATGTACACTGATTCTGTGTGTGTGATTTTAAAAGGAGAACATGGCTCAAGCAAGTCCTTGTTAAAGCAAACTATTGACATTTCATTAATTTTTAAATTACTGAAAATGGGATCTTTAATTCTATGTAAACAATTGGATTAAGCATATTACCCTGGAGCTTTGTATTATTCTTTAAAAATGAATCTTTCTTCATGTGATAAATTTCATGCAGCGAAGCTTCTCCCAAGAGCTCTCGTAGTGGCCTATCAACGACTTTGGGAGATTGAGCCAGGTCAGTCACTGAGGATCTGTGAAAGGAAGTTGGTCACTGAGAGCCTTGGGGACTAGGAAAACATTCCAGAATGAAGAGACCTGTTTGGGGAGGGGTCTTTTTTCCTTCTCCACCTAGTGAAGGGAGAACAGAAGGAGTCCTCTCTTTCCACAAGTCCATTCTGCCTTCAAAGTGCAAGCTCTCATGTCATTATGGATTTGGAGTTTGTCACTTTTTTTTTTCCTTACAAGTCCACAGTGGGGTGTCATGTGTCCTGTTATGCTCTGTTTTCTGGTTGCCAGTTTGATCTGCAAAGTATTATTCGGGGCAGGTAAATGTGTTAAACTATAAGAGTTGGCTGAGTTAATCCCAATTCGTTGTGCTCATCTGCCACCTTTTCAATCAATGGAAATTGCTATATTTGGGGATGTCATATATTTGATATTGCTTCAGCATTTCAAATATGCCGCAAAACTTAGCATCCATGTGCATAGGAAGTTAATGACCTTGCCAGTGGGGTGGTCACATATAGTGTTCTCAAGCTTTACTGTGAACCAGAAACATCTAGTAATCTTGTGACAAATGTGGACTCCTGGGGAAAACCAGGGTGTTCTGCTTCACTAGGTTAAATGTAGGTTTTGTAGAGGAGAGCTGCATTGGAGCAAGGCTCCCAGATGATCCTAATGCAGGAGGGCCAGAGGCCAAACTTGAAGAACTGCTAGTGTTACACGTTCCAGAAGATATTGGATCTCTCAGCCTTGTTTTGCCTGATCTCAAGCTTTAGCAACTCACCAACAAAGGCGTAGGCCCCATTTTATGTTCGAGTTTTCTACTCTGAATAGTTCTGAAACACTGAGCATTTTCTCATTTTTTGCATTACTGACTGAAGTTCAGTATTTCATGGTGTTTCCAGGGAACACAGAAATGCTGATGCAAGACAACTTTTGACAGAGGCCCATCAAACCCTGTTCTGCACTTGGTAATGACTTAGGGGCCTTCCTCAAATTGCAGAATCCTCTTTGCTGACTCAGGAATACCCCATGTCTTAGACTACTGCCTCTACCATTAACTAGCCCAGACATTTGAATGGCCTTGTAAGTAGCTCACTGTCCAATCCTCTAAGGACAAGTAACAATTTATATTGGATGAGAGTGGTCAAGAAATATGATTTCATTAGTTTTATTATTTGTTTACTTCCTCTGGGGAAGGCAGACTGATAAAATTATATGGGTTAGTACATTTTTGGTACATTAATTGCAGGCTGCATGACAAAATTTGTTTTTTTGGCAACAACCTGCCATTTTTAGTGGAATTCCACAACAGCAGGGTCTGTGGGCTTCCAGTTCATTTTACTGCAACTTCAATTTTATGGCAAAAACAGCTCAAAGTTTAAATTCCCTTTTCTATGAATGCCAAAAACATGCAGTGTTTTAAATTTGCTCCTTTATAGATAACAAAATAATGTTTAGCATAGTAAGAATTGAATAAATAATAAGTGATCAATTTGAAGGATTTCTGGATTATTTAATCTTTGCTTATGTTGCTTTTTCACATGCCTAATGATGAAAATGAAATGTTAAATGAACAAAATAAGATCAAGGGTTTCATAACATTTTTGTAAGTTTGGTAAACATTAGTCCTGTATACTTTTGGGGACAGTGTTATAAATCAGAATTTTACGACAGTTTGCAGCACACTGATTTGGAAGCTTCCAGTGCAAAATGAGAATGGGTTCAAATATACTAATGATCATTAAGTATTAATAGGCATTAGATGTCTAATGTGAGTATAGTTCCATCCAAGCCATCTCAGAAAGCCTAAAATGTTGTAAGGGAGTCAGCTGAAGGCCTCACTGGAGCTGGTCTCAATTTTTAAAAAGTGTCTCACTACACTTAAGAGATGTGACACATTTCCATTGATAACAATTGCTCACCATGGCATTGTCTCAAAAAAGACTATGGTCAGGAGGGTGACACATTCCTAATGGGATGTACCTCTCCATCCCCTTGCTTGAGAAGCACTACTCTAAAATTTACCAGACCTTACAACTGTGATAAAACTTGAATGTGTATGAATGAAGCCATTCAGTCAACTTTACCTCCCTTCACTCTTTGAAGGGTTTCCTTTTCCATTGCTCAGTTTTTAGAAAATAATTCTCATATTTTTTTCTTAAGAAATGAATTTGTGGCTGGTCTGAAGGGAGTAAGTTAGCTCAATTGATTGTTCACAGTCAGTCATAGATCAAGCTCCTTGTTCTGCTCTTTCCTTCTTCTCACTACTACGCTTGACTCTAGTCTTAAAAGAAAGAAAGAATGAATCTGTGGCTGGGTGCAGTGGCTCATGCTTGTAATCCCAGCACTTTGGGAGCCTGAAGTGGGAGGACTGCTTGAACCCAGGGGTGCAAGGCCAGCCCAGGCAATAGAGCCAGATACTGCCCCTATAAAAAAATACAAAAACTAGCTGGTTATGGTGATGCACACCTGTGGTCCCAGCTCCTGTGGAGGGTGATGTGGGAGGACTTGTGAGACCAGGAGTTAGATGCTGCAGTGAGCTGTGATTACGCCATTGCACTCTAGACTGGGTGACAGAGCGAGACCCTGCCTCAAATTGAAAAAAAAAAAGAAATGAATTTGTAATTGTTGGTAGGATGTTGTGGGAAATTTAGAGGCTTTCTGAGTATAAAGTGATTTAAATATTTGATCTGCTGAAGTCTTTCTGGAAGTGTTGTTTCTTTCTCTCCCCTCCCCCCACCCCCACCACCAGTGGAACCTTGCTCACCTGAGAGGTTCTGAGGAAGTGGGGTGGAGTAGAATGGCATTGTCAGATATGTTCAAGAAACCCTTCGTTTGACCTATTTTGTACCTTATGGTACCCTTTTAAATTTTTTTTAATTAAAAAAAATTTTTTTGAGGCAGTGTACTATTCTGTTTCCCAGGCTGATGTGTAGTGTTGCAATCTCAGCTCACTGCAACCTCTGCCTGCCAGGCTTCAGTGATCTTCCCATCTCAGTTTCCTGAGTAGCTGGGACTACAGGTGCATGCCGCTAAGTCTGGCTAATTTTTTGCATTTCTAATAGAGATAGGGTTTTGCCATGCTGCCCAGACTGGTTTCAAACTCCTGGACTCAGTGATTTGTCTGCTTCAGCCTCCCAAAGTGCTGGGATTACAGGCATGAGCCACACTGTGCCCAGTCCATGATACCTTTTTGAAACACCTATTAACACTGTACAACAACACTTCAAAGCATATCATTTGAATGCCAACCTCTGATTTTCTAGTCAATAATCAGTTAAGGCAAAGACCTATTTCCAAACTCCGATGTTCTTCAACTTACACTAGTGTTGAAGAGGCTTTCTTGAACTGTGTGAGAGAAAAAAATAAATACAATTCATTTATTATCATAAAGTCATCCTGTTTGCCACTTGATGTGGTTATGTTTTATCTACCACACTGCAAACGTGTTCATTCATGATGAGAAACAGATCCCCATACACGTGTATATCAGTAAATCATTCAATGAATAGTTAGTGCTTTGTATGTATAGAATGGCCACTATCCTAGGAACTGGGGATCCACAAGTGAACAAAACCTACAATGTCCCTCCCTCATGGAGCTAGTGTTCTGGTTGGGCAGGTAGACAAGATATGTAGAGGAATCCAGATATTAAGTGCTGTAAAGAAACGAAGCCTCATACGGCATGTGAATTAATGGCCACTCTGACAAGCTGACGTTTGAGGAAGACTTAATGGGCAAAAAGGAACCAGCCTTGTCAGCTTGTCAGGGGAAGGCACTGCAGGTCAAGCTAAGTACAGAGGTCCCAAGGCTGGCAGGTACCTGTTCTACTGGAAGGATGTTAACTCTGGAAGATACCTGGATGACTTGACTTTTGAAGAATTCTGAGATTTTCCTGATTTTTTTCCCCCGCTGAGAAACTGCCTCTAGAGATTTCCTGTGTCTCCTTGGTTCTTGTATGGAATGTGTCAACTTGTAAAAGATGCATTTCAGACAAACAATTGTCATGCCCATTCTCTTCATGCTCAGCAACCGATTTCTAAAACAGGCTGAACTTTTGCCTCCTCCAGAACACAGAAGGAAAGGCCCTCAAAGAGCACTGAATTCAGCCCTTTAAACTGTGTTTGATGATGTATAATGCAGATTCTCAGGCCCAAACATACTGATACAGACTACCCACAATGCGAGAGGGGGTCCTATAGTTTCGAATTTTTAGCTAAAGCCATAGGTGATTTTTAATATAAGGGAGTTTAAGAAGCACTGAGATAGTCCAATCATTTTTAAACATAATTTTCGACTTAGAAAAATGTTGTAAAATAGTGCAAAGAATTCCCAGGTACTTTTCACCTTTTCTCCTTTACTCCCTTTTCCAACAGTGAGAAATCTGACTCCCATTAGCCACAATACGTTTTATTATTATTATTTTTTCAGATGAAATCTCACTCTGTCACCCAGGGTGGAGTACAGTGGCACGATGTTGGCTCACTGCAACTTCTGCCTCCCAGGTTCAAGTGATTCTCCTGCCTCAGCCTCCTGAGTAGCTGGGATTATAGGCACCTGCCATAATACCTGGCTAATTTTTATATTTTTTAGTAGAGGCAAGGTTTCATCATATTGGCCAAGCTGGTCTCAAATTCCTGACCTCAAGTGATAGACCTGCCTCAGCCTCCCATTGTGCTGCGATTACAGGCATGAGCCACCTCGTCCAGTCTACAAAACATTTTATTTGCTCAATCCTAGAACGTACAGAATGTTGTTCCAGAATTATCAATTCATGTCTGTGCCTACTAATTAGAATTCAACATGTTTCAAGTTCTTTTTGTCTTGAGCCTGAAGGCAAGCTTGATTCTAAATAGTCACAGTTACCTGGATTATTTCCCCCTTTCTG